GTGTAACTTGGGTCTCCTTTACCAATAACATCTGATCATTTGACTGTAATGCTGCGGGATTTTTCTACTTAGGTTAGTTAGAACTTCGGCTGCTGGTCCAGTGTCAGTGCCCCATTACTGCCCCCACACTCCCCTTCCCAGGAGAACCAAACATTACCTCTGTTTTGTGACAGTTGAGTGCCAGAAACCTCCACTTTTTTTCAAATAACATTAAAAAAAATTTAAATTGATTTTAGAGACAGGAAAAGGTGTGTGTGGGGGGGGAGAAATATTGATGTGTCAGTCAGTTGCCTCCTGCACAAGCCCCAACCAGGGATCGAACCCAAAACCTGGATATGTGTCCTGAGCAAAATCAAACCCACCACCTTCGGGTACGAGGCAACACTCCAACCATCTGAGCCACACCAGCCAGGGAAACACCTCCATTTTTTTAATTCAGGATTTTCATAAACACATTGACTGTTGTCTAAATCATTAGTGAACAACTTTTTTATTTCTTTTTAAAACAGTGGAACCCTTTTTAAAATGGAAATGTAGAAACATATATAAAGCAGACAAAAGCTGAGCCACTCTGGTAGAGCCCCGTTCCCTGTCCAATTATTAGGCTGAGATTTATTGAAGGAGATTTATTAAGCGTGGTGCTATGTGCGAGGCTCTGTGCTGGACACCAGTGAGAAAATGGGGCAGGAAAAGACACCGGCTCCCTCCCTGTGGAGTCCAGAGGTTCTCTGAACATCTCGGCCAGCTAGGGGTGAGGAAGAACACAGTCTGAAAAACACTGTACCTCCAGTTTTTGCTATGCAAGTGTTAGGTTTTTCGTGTTTTTGTTTTAGAATTGAGATTATATTATATATGTTGTTTTACAAAGATTTATGGTATTTTAAAAATTGTAAAACACATGTAACAGAAATTTGACTATTTTAAAGCGAACAATTCAGTGGCATTAAGTACCTTCATAATGTTACGCAAACCATCAGCACTATCTAGTCTAGAACTGTTTCCTTACCCAGAGGAAACTCAGAATCCAGTTAAGCAGTCACTCCCCCTTACCCCTTAAGAACCATTAATTTGCTTTCTGGATATTTAATATAAATGGAATAATACAATATGTTACTTCTTTCACTTAACAATGTTTTTTTTTTTTTTTAAGTTTATCTATATTGTAGTATGTATCAATAACTTATTCATTTTTATGGCTAAATAATACTCCATTGTGTGAATGTTCCACATTTGTTCATCCACTCATTATTTGATGGGCATTTGGGTTGTTTCCACCTTTTAACTATTGTGAATAGTGCTGTTATAAACATTTGTGTACAAATTTTGTGTGAACACTTGTTTTTAATCTTTTGAATATGTTATTCCTAGGAGTAGAATTACTGGGTTACATGGTAATTCAGTGTTTAACTTATTGAGGAACCATTGAACTGTTTTCCACTGTGACCCCACCGGCCGTGTGTGAAGGTTCCAGTTTCTCTGGGTCTTTACCTACACTTGCTATTTTTCTTTTTCATTTTCTTATGGCCTTCCTCATGGGTGTGAATTGGTATCTAATTGTGGTTTTTATTTGCATTTGAATTTGAAATTCACTTGCATTTGAGATCATGTTGAACATCTTTTCATATGCCTGTGTTGGCAGTTTGTGTATTTTGGAGAAATGTCTGTTTGTGGCCTTTGCCCATTTTTAAATAGTGTTTCATTGTTGAGTTGTAAGAGTTCTTTATATATTCTAGCTGCTCTGGCCGGTTTGGCTCAGCAGTTAGAGCGTTGACCCACGGATAGGAGAGACCCGGGTTCGGTTCCCGTTAAGGGCACATACCTCGATTGCAGTTTGTCCTGGGTCGTGTGGGTGGCAACCAGTCGATGTGTTTCTTTCACATCGATGTTTCTCTCTCTCTCTTCCTTCCTCTCTCCCTCCTGCTCTATCTGAAGATGAATGCAAAAATGTCCTCGAGTGAGGATAAAAAAGTATATATATTCTATATATTAGACTATTATTAGACACATGACTTGCAAATATTTTCTTTCATTCTGTAGGTTCTTTTCACTCTCTTACTATTCTTCTTTGGCACACCAAAGTTTTTAATTGTGTGCTTTTGATATGGTATCTAAGAAAACATTACCAAATTTAAGAGCATGAAGATTTGCTCGTTTTCTTTTTTTCTTTTTAAGTTTTAAAATATATATTTTAGCTCTTATGTTTTTTTTTTTTTTTTAAATCCATTTTGAGTTAGTTTTTTTTATATGGTAGGAAGTAAGGATTTGATTTTATTCTTTTGCTTGTGGATATCCAGTTGTCCAGCACCATTTGTTGAAGGCTCCTCTTCCCCTCTGAAGGTTCTAGACATTCTTCTTAAAAATCAGTTGATCATAAGTGTATAGGTTTGTTTCTGGACTTGCAGTCTATTCCATTAATGTATATGCCTATACTTAATGGCCGTAGTAAGTTTCGAAATCAGGAAGTGTGAGTCCTCCTAACTGTGTTTGTTTTTTTCCAAGATCACTTTGGCTATTCAGATCAGAGTTGTGTAGAGTTGTGGTCTTTGTTCTATCCTAAAGAAGCTGTAGGGGGTTTAGATAAGGTCCAGAAAGGAATAATTAAAATAATCATGCATTGTAATAGGCTATTCCTATCATTTTGGCCTGTCTGATGGATGTTGTCATCTAGAAGGATGAGGGCTGAGAGGGAGTTTATGATCAGCTTGTAAAATCATGAAGAGTAAGAGCAGCACAGCTGATTTGGGCACCAAATCTTGGATACTCTAGAACTGGAAGGTTGCCCGGTGAAGTTTGAAGCAGCACGTTTAGTGTGCTTGAACAGGACAGTGTTTCACACAAGGACTAAGTTGATGAAACATCAACTCCAAGGAGCACTTAATATTAGGCCGAAATCATAAACACCGTAGCTTTAAAACATTTTGGAACATTCATGAACCTTTATCTCCCAGGACAGCTGTGCATGTTTTGCAGTATGCCCCTTACCTTTTGAGGCTGGTGTCAACACTCTATGCTGTCCCACACCTTGTCCCATAGTGATGTGGTCTCAGGCCTAATATTGGGCTGAGTGGCATAAGTGTACCCCTGAATGATGGTTCTTAGGAATTCCCAGTGAGCCACAGCCTCACCGAGTGTCCTCCCAGTGTCTGCCAGTGGCTAAGAGGGGACCCAGCTAGTGCCCTGCCTGTGGGGAGGTTCCTTGCTGAGACCAGGCAGTGTTTAGGGCCTCCACACATGCAGCTAGACCAAGTCTGCCCAGGTCGGGACTTGTCAGCCTTCCTTAAAACACAGGCTCTCTCACGAATCAGATTTGCATTACTTCCTACCACAGACCACCTTCTACTCATACTTTAGAACCATGTTCAAATCTTGCCAAAGCGGTTTTGTCTTCAGTTCAGTTGACTAGCTTGTTAATAACACAATGCTGTGCTAGTGGGGATTTCGTTCCAGCCACCTTTTAACTTGTTTGTGTGTAGAATGATTGTGTTACTCCTCTGTGATTGGTTTTCCTAATTGTGTTATTTCAACTACGTAACTGTTAGGTATGTGTTTATATACACGTGTGTAGACTGATTTAACTTGATGAGTCAGTATGAAACATAAAGAGCTGCTATCATTAATCCAGATTTAGCTTTTCAAAGACATAGAAATTAGGTTTGTGACTTAGTGTACTAGCAAATTTATAGTAAATTCAGATGTTTGTATAATTTTATTATCACTTATTTTATTTCAATGAAAAATGAATATTTACAGAAGACTAGCCATAATGTCTGTCTTTAAAGTTCAGGATAAGGCATATAAATTTAAAGCAGAACTTCCCAGTGTTGGACCAGTGAGTCAAACAGTGTGAATTTAGAAATAAACTAGATTCAAATTTCAGCAGGAGGGTTTTAGAGGTCATCTAGTTCAGTCCCTTCTTTCTGGTTAATCATGAGGAAAATGAGGTTCAGGGAGGTTAAATGACTTGCCCAATGCCACGCGACTGAGTTACTGGCAGAGCTGAGGCTCAGCAGTTTCTTGCTGTGATCTTGCTGTAACTTGCCACTTCCTAATTAGTGGATAAAGAGACACATTCAGTGTGTGTGTTTGAGTTTTACATTGAGAGTAGGGATTAAAATTTATCGAGCACCTATTTGCTAAGCACTTTTTTATTTCATTTAATTCTTATGTAGTCCTGTGACATAATTATTAACAGTCCCACTTTGCAGATTAGGAAACTAGGGTGCTTGAAGGTTCCTAACGTACTCAAGGTCATGTGAGTAATATTAGAGCCAGTATTTGAGCCTTAGGTCTTTCTGACCTGTTTCCTGCCATGATACCCTGCTGTGGATCTAGTAATAGTAACTGAAACCTTTTTAGGGGTGTGGGCAGTGGTAATGGTTATCTCAAAAATAAATCTTTTTCAGACTTCTCATTCATTGTGAAATATATAAACGTACACAGATGGGTACAGAGAGAATCTTTTTCAGAGCACCCACAGCACTTATTGGATGTTTGGCTAATCTTTATACCATTTCTGTAAGATAAATAGTATTTCGCCCTGGCTGGTTTGGTTCAGTGGTTGGAGCTTTGGCCCACAGACCAGTGAGTCTCGGGTTTGATTCCAGTCAAGGGCACATATCTCGGTTGTGGTTTTACCCCGGCCCTGGTCGGGTCCCGCAGGAGGCAACCAGTCGATGAATCCGTCTCACGTCGATCCTCCCCCCCTTGCCCTCTTTCCCTCCCTCCCACTCTATCTGAAGATAAATGGGAAAAAATCCTTGGGTGAGGTTAAATAAAAAAAAACAGATAAATAGTATTTTTTGGTTGGGTAGCCAAGGCCCAGATAGATTCAGGGACTTGCTCAATTCCTTATCACAAACCCACGTGGCCCTGCTCCCAGTTCCGTTCTCCGTCCAGTCGAACGTAGATTTCACCACTTTTGTTCTTTCCTGTCTTACACCAAGATTGTTTAAGAACTTCCCAAAAATAATGAGCCACGTGTGGGTTTGTTCATTCTCCAGGATGAATCACTGTGAAAGGGGCCGTGAACCAGTGAAAGGAGGATAAGTGTCTGGAAGCAGAGACTCCTGGCTCTCCTGCCTGCTCTGACGACTCTAAAGTGAGCTTTTTTCAAAAGGCGGCTGTGGGTCTGGCCTGCGTGTCCCACTGTGCTCAGAATAGCCCTCTTGGAGTTGTTCGCTTTCCCTTCTCGCTTCCCAAAATAGACCCAATGCTGTTCTGTTTGCTGGACATCTCGGTGCACGCATTGAGAAGTGTGCGCTCCGTGGGGAGCCCCTTTGTGCTTGAACGTCCCCACTGACAAAGGGCAGTGGGCATTAGCTTTCCCGAGTCACAGTCACGACTGATGCTTGGGAAGAGATTTGGATTGAGTATTCAGAAGGTCACAGAAGTAAATCTATTTACAAGGATTAAAAGAGGGAGCAAATAAAGATATTTGGGAGGAAAAACTGAGGAGGTTTCTTAGTCTTTCTTGTTGGAATTGAAATATAGGAGTCATTTACTTTTACTTTTTAATTTTTTTTAATCCTCACCTGAGGATATTTTTTCATTTTTTATCTTCAGATAGAGTGGGAGGGAGGGAGAGAGAGAGAAACATCGATGATGAGAGAGACACATTGATCAGTTGCCTCCCGCATGACCCTGACCAGGGCCGGAGACTCAACCACAACCAAGGCCCATGCTCTTGACCAGAATTGAACCTGTGACTCTTTGGTCCGGGGACTGGCGTTCTAACTGCTGAGCCAAACCGGCCAGGATGGAGGAATTTACTTTTAAAATTCCTTCCAGATTTGGAACTTAGTCTAAAGGGTACCTGCTTTAAACTTCCTGCCTTTAAAATGTAACACTACCCAAACCTTTCAGCAGGTAGCTACATGCTCTGGAATTTCTCCCCGAAGAAAGAGATCTGATCAGATGCTGTAAAAGATAACCACAGGCCGTGCAGCGAGGAGCCACACTGCTCCTTTAGCTGGTGCCGTCTCCCCTTTGTTTCCTTGGGCGGGAGTGGCAAGGGATTGTGTCCTTTATTTTATATTCATTCATTCATTCATTCATTCATTCATTTATCCATCCTCACCCAAGGACATTTTCTTTTTTCCGTTTTTTGTTCAGATAAAGTGGGAGGGAGAGAGAGGAAGAAAGAGAGAGAGAAACATCGACATGAAAGGGACACATCAAGTGGCTGCCACCTGCACGACCAACCAGGGCTGGGGACAAACTGTAACCAAGGTACATGCCCTTAGCGGGAACCGAACCTGGGTCTCTCTGGACTGCAGGCCGACACTTTAACCGCTGAGCCAAACTGGCCAGGGCTATTTATTTATTTTTTAAAATATATTTTTATTGATTTTTTTTTTTTTTAGAGAGAGGAAGGGAGAGGGAGAAAGAGATAGAAAAATCGATGTGAGAGAGAACATCGATCGGCTGCCCCCTGCATGTGCCCTGACCAGCAATTGAACCAGGATCTCTTGGTACATGGGTTGACGCTCAGCCACTGAGCCACACCAGCTGGGCAAGGGACCATGTCCTTTATAGAAAGCCTGAGAAAGGAAGGGTTGGACACTGAGATACTTAGAACCTGTCTTTGGATCGGAAAAGCCAAGAGATGCCTTCTAGTGTATTGGAGAAAGAAACAAAGATAGCCTGTTTACAGCCTAAAGGGGTGAGTTACAACAGGCTAGTTTTTCATGGGACCGGTCATACATGTCTCTTCTCTAGGGGCTCTAGTTTGAATACCTTCCCACTCAGTATCCAGATAGTATTCACTTAGTGTCCAGTCTGAGACCTGGGTGGGCCCTGCCACCTCCATTTCCTGATGGGCGAGTACCTCATTCAGCCCTGCATCCCAGCCTAAATATTGTTGTGGCTAAAGCCATATTCCTGCCCATCCCAAGAGGTCAGGGCTAGATTAGGCTCATGGGAGACAGTGTTGGGGAGCAACAACTGCTGCTGTCTGTGCTATTCTTGTTAGATGGATAAATAAAGGATTTCAAACTCCAGGGCTGCTGAACTAGCTTTTAGAAGCACCAAATTCATTTACAGTAATTCCTGTCAATAGTCTGCACTTATGTATACTACACACCCAGCAAAATTTACTTACTTATGTACTTAGTCCCAGAGATGATTGCGTACACTGCCTATTTGAACATATGTATATGTGCGCGCGCACATGTGTGTGTCTATATCTATATATCTTTAACGTGATATCCAGGGACCTTTCAGAATGGGTTGAACTTATCGAGCCCTTTTTATGCCACTAATATTATCCTCTTTGGAGGATATTGTTTTTGCCCCTCACGAGAGGGATAGGTACCTGCCATAGCAAAGGAAGAGGATGAAGCTTTTCTTTTTCTTTTTTTAATCCTCACCCGAGGATATGTTTATTGGTTTGAGAGAGAGAGAGAAACATCGATGTGAGAGAGAAACATCAATTGATTGCCTCCCAAACACGCCCCCACTGGGGATCGAATCCATAACCTGGGCATGTGCCCTGACCAGAAATCGAACCTGCCACCTTTTGGTGTATGGGGACAATGCTCCAACCAACTGAGCCACCTGCTTAGGGCATCAGGGGAAGCTTTTCATAGGAAGTGATGTTTAAGCTAAATTTTAAAGGATTTGTTAGAATTAGCCAGGAAAAAGAGCATTGCCACAAAAAACCGTGAGAGCATGCGTGTGTGATTGCATTCAGGAAGCTGGGCGTGTGTGGCGCTGGAGAAGGGAGAGGGGGCGATGATGTTCCAGGAGCCCGCGTGGCTTCGGGTGGCAAGGGAGCGAGAAGGCGCGTGCTCTCACATTGGAGGCAGGACCTGCATTCTTCAAAGGGTGCCTTCCTCTCATGCTCAGGCCTCTAAATTTAAAGAAAAATGTCTTTCCCAGCCACAAAATAATTTGTAGTAAGTCTGAGGCAGAGTTCAAAAGGTAGTTTCTCTGTGTCTCATAGGCATAAAATAGGGCATTTAGAAGAAAATGGTGGAGTCTACAAAGTCTTGTTTGTGAGCTGAATAAACAGGCAAAAAGGTTGTGCCTCTGTTGACGATATCATCTTTCTGACCCTATCCCTATAAAAGCTCCTTACTTTGGAAATCAGGTATGCCAAGGAATGATATTCTAAGTCTGGAAAAGACCTAGGATAAGATCTTATCATTGATGTCGATGTCTACTCCCAAATTTCCTGCAGCTCTGCTGTGTACGTGCACCAGCTGCCTACAGGCCAACTACACATGTGAAACGGATGGTGCCTGCATGGTCTCCATCTTCAACCTGGATGGGATGGAGCACCACGTGCGCACCTGCATCCCCAAAGTGGAGCTGGTCCCCGCTGGGAAGCCGTTCTACTGCCTGAGCTCCGAGGACCTGCGTAACACCCACTGCTGCTATACTGACTTCTGCAACAAGATCGACCTGAGGGTTCCCAGTGGTGAGTGGACACCCTTGTTGGACTATTGGCTCATCTTGGAGGTAGGGCATCCCTGTCATTTCATACTTTTCTATGCTTCCCCAATCCCTTTGTTTGATGATAGGTAAAGGTACCTTTTTGAAGTTCCCTAAGGTGACAAAGGATGAGATTCTTCCCTCATCAGGTTTGTAGATTAGAGGATGAAGGAGACAGATTATTGTCACATTGGTCCCAGAGATGAAAGCTGAAGTTTGGGTGGTGGCCGAGGGGCCACAGGCAGCTGTTGAGGAGTGGGAGAGCCAGGCAGGAATCCCAGGGCAGGGTACGGGGCTGATCCTGAGCCTCGTGAAGGAGCTGTTGGCTGGCGGTGAAGGCATAATCGGGAAGAGGGTCTAGAATTAGGCAAAAAGGACAGTGATCAAGGCTGGGAAGTGTTAGGTCTGCATTTAGAAGATATTCCTGGGGAGGTCAGAGGAGTAGGAGAGAGACTGGAGCAGCTTAAAGGAGCTGTTACGAGTTGAAGTAGATCCTACCTAGGGCACTGAGATGGGAAAAATACCATGAAGTTACAAAGTGGGTTATGGATTTGACTGCTGCAAAGGTCTCCTTAACTAGAGAGGTTTGCTTTTAAGAGCATCCAGGCAGACAAACTAGTCCAGTAACACTGAGAGGTCAGGAACACCTTGAGCACGTGAAGAGAGAATGGGTATTTCACTTGGAAGTGTTGGGGATAAATAAGCCAATGCATTCTGTTTTTACTCTTTGTTTTTTCCCTCTCCTCTCTCACTTGACCCAGGTCACCTCAAGGAGCCCGAGCACCCTTCCATGTGGGGCCCTGTGGAGCTGGTCGGCATCATTGCCGGCCCCGTGTTCCTCCTGTTTCTCATTATCATCGTCGTTTTCCTTGTCATTAACTATCATCAGCGTGTCTATCACAACCGCCAGAGGCTGGACATGGAAGATCCCTCGTGTGAGATGTGCCTCTCCAAAGACAAGACACTCCAGGACCTTGTCTACGATCTCTCCACATCAGGGTCTGGCTCAGGTACTGAGTTCTTCAGGCCTTGTGTCCGCAGTTGGCCTTCCTTACTGCTTCCCAGCAGGATAGAGCATTTGAAAAAAGCTGGGCCTTACGTTTGATTTTAGCAGCATTGAGTCATTTGATTTCATGCTTCCCCTCCTTTCAGAGTCTGACATGTAATAAGATAAGATAATGGGAGTCACAGAAAATCTTTCATTCCCTGGGATTCCAAAGGTCAAGTGCAAAACCCTCCCTTCCAGAAACTTTGCCTCTCTCCAAGGTCTGTAGCCATATGTCTATTAAAATTCATCTGGTTCCAGCTGAGCGGAGGAGTGCTCAGTTTAAGCGCCCCTTTTGAGAAACAGGAGTGTGCCGTGTTCCGTGAGGTGGCGGCAGCTAATCATTGATCTCTGAGCAATCACAAGGGGAGTTTAAGGACACCGAGTAAAGCTGAACGCTGGGGTTTGGTGAATCATTGACTTGTTCCAGTTGCCCAGGGGTTTTTCGTGGGGGTTAAATAAAGGCAGCTTGGGCTTCCAGCAGGGCATCAGCATCACCTCTTGTCCAGCCTGCTGGTAACCGAGTCTTCCTCAGGTGAGGGAATTGAACCAGCACTGGACTTTGCTGTGAGACCAGAATAAGATAAAGGAAGGTGGGTTGTTCAGGCCTCAGGGTGTGTAGTTCAGCTATTAGATATGAGTATGACTGCAAAACAGTCTTTTTATGAAGATAAACAATTATTTTAGTGATGGTGGTATTTTGTTCTTATAAAAAATCATCCACAGGGCCCTGGCTGGATTGGCTCAGCGTAGAGCGTCGCCCATGGACCAATGAGTCGCAGGTTCAGTTCCAGCCAAGGGCATGTACCTCGGTTGTGGTTCATCCCTGGCTCTGGTCGGGGTCATGCGGGAGGCAACCAGTTGATGTGTCCCTCTCATGTCGATGTTTCTCTCTCTCCCCTTCTCTCCCTCCCACTCTATCTGAAGATAAATAGAAAAATATCCTCAGGTGAGGATTTAAAAAAAAAAATCATCCACAGGGGTTATTGTTGCCATTGTAGCTGAAACATATAGAGTCATATTTGTGTTTATGTATTTTTTTGCCGTGTGACAAGGATGTTCTGTAGGGAAGTTGTGCCATCAGTCATGGCCAGACATTTCTCCTTGAGTACCAGGAATACTTTGTGACATCTCTTGAATTTAGTGGTTTTTCCTTTATTAAGCTCTGCAGTGGAGAGTGCCAAAATGATGAATATATTTAAAAGGAGTATACATGTAGGAAGAGAAAATATGTGGCTTGTTCTTTGATGAAAGAGGTGGGCAGTGGTTAGAACGCCTGACTGACGCCTGACTTGGTTCGTAGTTAGAGGGGAAGGGTAGCTTGATCCCCAGAGTCTAGCTGGGGCTCTGGAAGGTGCATGGCGCCTGCTTAGTCAGCTGGATGGTTTAGTCCATTCTTAATTCAGAATATGCAGAGCTTCCAAGGCATTGGAATTTTAATACCGTGGCTTTAACGTGAATAAGTCCTTGCTGCTTACGTGACTTTCAGTTCACATGCACAGATGTATGTTGAATATGCTCCGGGTGATACAGAATGAACACAAATGAGAAAGAAGCTGAGCCCATGTTGGGTAGAAGATGGGATTGTTGGGATAGGTCTCACAGAGGAGGGTGCGTTCAAAGGGACCTTGAAGACTGAATTCGAAGGTATAAGAGAAATGAGAGGGCAGGGAACATTCCAGGCCAAGGAAATCTCTTGAGCAAAAGGACAAAAAGGCACAAAAGTTCACCCAGTGCTTAGGGAACAGTAAAGAGGCCAACATGGCTTGGCCACTCTGGGGTGGGGAGGGGCAGGTTAACCTGGGAGGAAAGGGCCTTAGGTACCATGCTTTTTCTGGCAAGATGAGAGGTGTCTCCGGAACATTTTCTGTGGGAAACAAAAGTTCCTATTTTCCTTTGTGGTGTGGGGAATGAATTCATCCATTTAGCACCCTCCTGTTAGAGAGGGCGGGGTGAGGTGGGCAGTGTGGGTTGTAGGGCAGGAGGGGGTGATACGGGAAGCAGAGAGACTCGTTGGAAGTGCTTTAAAGAAGGGCCGGAACTAGGACTGGCACAGAGAGGATGGGGAGAAGGCGTCTAACTTGAGAAACATTTTGGTGGTTTTATACTATATATACTTAAAAACATGAGCTTTGGAGTCAGATGTTTCTAGATTTTAATCCCTATATTGCTGTTTACTGCTTGTATGAATTTACTTAACCTTTCCCCTTTGGGCCTTGGTTTCCTCACCTTATAGAGGTTTGTGAGGAAATGAGATAATTTATGTAAAGCCCTTAGCATAGTGCTTAAAGCATACAGTAAATTGTAGCTCATATCCACAAGAGTTAGGGATTGATAACATTTTTTAATTTGGTCAGGGAGAGGAAGTGAGAGTTAAGAGTCAGTCATGATGGTACGGGTGATTGGTGATCGGGAGAGATTGAATGAGTCGTGTAAAGACAATAAAAGTAATCTTAGGATAAGCATGGGTAGTCTCCCACTCTACACCTGGAGCTCCGCCTGGGAGCAGAACTTGGCTCTCCAGGTCTTTATATGCCCTGACCACAATTTTGGTTTCATAGGTCACACAGCACTGCCCTCTAGTGGCGAATGAGTAGAGCAGCCAGAAGATGCTCCCAGGCCTCAAGCCTTTGCTGTCCTTTTCTGCCCTCTTTCCTCTTTATCAGCATAAGACAGATGTGGAGAGATGGGCCCACAGAAGGCTGGTTGCAGAGTTGATAAGTCTGGTCAGACATTTCTATTCAAATCTGTCATCCATGTTAACCAAAAGGATAAACTGATTAGATCAGAAACAGCTAATCCTGTGCATCTCCCTTTCTGTGCCCACTCTCAGTGGCTGCATGGCTGAGGCCTCTGGTGGATTACCTGGACTTGGTGCCGGGGCAGCCGCAGCTCTCCACGGTCAGTGGGCGCGGAGCACGGGCACTGTGGTAAGGGCTTTTCCAGTGTGGCAACGAGAGTGGAGTAACAAAGTTTAGCAAAATAATAGTGCCCACTTTCTTTCCATTCTTTGGTCCATAGGATTACCACTATTTGTCCAGCGCACGGTGGCCCGAACCATCGTTTTGCAGGAGATTATTGGCAAGGGCCGGTTTGGAGAAGTGTGGCGTGGCCGCTGGAGGGGTGGTGATGTGGCTGTGAAGATTTTCTCTTCTCGGGAGGAACGGTCTTGGTTTCGGGAAGCAGAGATATACCAGACAGTCATGCTGCGCCATGAAAACATCCTTGGATTTATTGCCGCTGACAATAAAGGTAAAGGGCGAGGTTTGGATACAGGGTATTCTAAAGCCAGCCATAGTCCCAGATGGAGGGGTGACGGGGACACCGCTGTTTGTCTTCATAGTTATCACCCATAGAAAGAGAGTCTAAATAAGGTAATAATTTTTGAACTTTTCTTCTATAAAAGCTTACATAGAAACCCAGGTTACTAAACAAGTAAATAAGCAGTTATTAAGCAGGTGAACAAGATACAGCTCTTACCCTACCCACTCACTTTCCCTTCCACGACGTTCCCAAAGCTGCCCCCATGGGGGTCCCTGAGGGACTCAGGAAGTGCACCTTGAACAACTGGAGTGAAGAACTGTGGCCTCAGCTCCTGCCAGGAAAGGATGGCCCAGGAGAGCATGCTGTCCACGTTCTGTGACACTGCAGCACTCACACATCTGCACGGAGCAGGCACAGCGCAGCAGTGACCTGCCCGCCCAGAGCACTGCCTCCTGGCTTTCAGACTCGGCGTTGGGTCCACTTGCACCTGCGGTCCCTTATCTTCTCCTCCTCCTCGCTTCTGTCTTTTTTGCTTTCATGTTTGAGTTTCTCTTGTGTGGCCAGGCGTGTTCTTGTTTTTGAGGACCTCACTCACTAGAAAAGAGATAAAGTGATTAATTATAGGATGTGATCAAGCAACACGCCATTCTAGTGAGCACAGTTGGGGGTGAGAGAGGGTCCGGGAGGTCACACCTGAGCTTGGTTGAGTGGAAGGTAGCAGGGCCGGTCAGGAAGGAAGACCGTGGGAGGTTCCCTGCAGACCCGCGAGCAGAGGCGCGGTGTGTTTGGGAACACCCACGGGCAACTTGGGCTGGCTGTGTCACAGTGGAGACGGGGAGGCCACGGAGGCCACATTGTGAGGGCCTATGAAATTGTGGGTGTAATTGAAATTTCCTTCATCAGTTCAATAACATCTATTGATGACTATGGACCAGGATCTTTGCCAGCTTCTTGCCCTCACAGCCCTCGGGAAGAGGGGACAGCAGACACAGAGGCAGGTTGTCCACTTGAAGTCCAAGACCATGGGCTTTACATTTCTAGAGTCTCTCTGGCAGTTGTGACAGTTTCCTCTGGTGGCACAGCGAGTTCTAGAAGTTAGTGTCTCCAAAGCCTACGGAAGATGCAAAGTATTTATTTTTCCTTTCTAAAACAGCAGCAGGCTGCCCGTCCTCACATTGCTGTGGGGTTTGTAGTGACCTCAGCTGCCCCGAGTGCCGTGGACTCACACAAGGGGGGAGGGGAAGAGATCATTTTTCTCTCCTTCTGAATATGATATTCCTTTTTAAAACAACGTCGCCTTTTGATAAAATTTAAACCTTACATATATTTTAAAGGATCAAAAGATGTCTTGCCTTTTAACTTACTGACAGGATCCTCAAGCCTTCGGGCTGGTTGGAATGTGAGGGGTATGTTGGGTGGACCCTTTGTTCATAGTCAGAGAAGCTGAGATCGGTGCTTTTCCAGAAGCCGCCCCTTCATTGATTCTGGCAGCTGTGTGAGTTGGGATCTGGCTGTTGAAATCCACATTAGGGCCAGGGGAGGAGGAAAATTGGATTCCTTGTGTCTTGTGTTTTTAACACAATATATAGTATAGTGTAGTGTTTCAGCACTGACCTGGAATTTAGGAGATCTCAGTTCAATTTCCAGTTTTCCTGTTGACTGCAGCATAACCCAGTTGGATTACCAGATTTTGGATTTACTCTTTCTCCCACTCTTCCTCTCCCTTCTGCTTCCTATTGCACGTACACACACATACACACACACAATGTATAAAAATGTATGCAATCCACCTTCCATTGCTCTTGTGAGGATCAAGTAGCCTCTCTGGAATACTTAGACGTGTGCTTATCATGCACTGAAGGTGGTTTTGGGCCTGGAATACAGTAATGCACAAAGGAGCTCTTTCTACTCAGAGAGAGCTCATAGCTGGAAAGAGCGATGGATTTGGGAAGGAAGTGCCTCACGTGAGACAGGTGCTAGGCTGGGCGGGGTTGTGCTCACAGGGTCTTGAAGAATGGGGGTGGTGTAGAAGAGGGTATGAGGCATAAATGGTACGGAAGGAGACTTGACTTGGGGTGGTCAATGCACAGTACAATGTACAGATGATACCTATATAATTTTATTAACCAGTGTCATCCCATTAAGTTCAGATTATAAGAAGGGATCTTAGAGTAATGAGCAGGACCTGTGAAGCATCCCCCTTGCGTGGCGGATGCAGCCAGTCATTGCTGACACGTAGATGAGCGAGTTTCATTGGGATCAAGAGCAGTGTGGTAGATATTACATGTTACTCTCCCTAAGCATACACTTCGTCTTCTGGGTGCCTCACACTTCAAATCTGGTGTTGTAATGCAGTGTTGTCCAGGACCCTATAGCCACCTACATGAAACAGTGGAGCAGGTCTAAAAAGAACTACTGTTCTTCTGTCCTTCCTGGAGCCTAGAATGGGTAGACACCTGGAGATGAGACGGGTGTCGAGGGAGCCTCAGGAGGTGTAGAGGCAAGAAGTGGGAATTCAGGCGTCTAACTGGAGTCTGTGTGCTACACATATTCTTCCTTTCCTGCCTCAACCTCTGGGTTGTGCCTTTTCTGGAACTCTTCTGTGCTTCTCTGCAGATAATGGCACCTGGACACAGCTGTGGCTCGTCTCGGACTATCATGAGCATGGCTCCCTGTTCGATTATCTTAACCGGTACACAGTGACGATCGAGGGGATGATTAAGTTGGCCTTGTCTGCTGCCAGTGGGCTGGCACACCTGCACATGGAGATCGTGGGCACCCAAGGTGAGTACACCCAGCTATGGGGCAGTAACATTGAGTAGTCTTTAAAAGCTTGTACCATCAGTCTGGCTGGTGTGGCTCAGTGGTTGAACATCGACCCATGCACCAAGAGGTCCCTGGTTCGATTCCCGGTCAGGACACAGGCCCAGGTTGTGGGCCTGATCCCCAGTGAGGGGCTTGAAGGAGGCGGCCAGTCGATGTCTCTGTCACTCTCTCCCTCTCACTTCCTCTCTCTAAAACAATAAAGGGAAAAATTTTTTTTTAAATAAATAAAAGCTTGTACCATCCTGATTTAGTTCCCAGACTTTTTTTTCCTGAGAAAGTTGGGCTGGACCTCAGGAAGTGTAACCTAATCTAAAGGAGACAGATTTGCACTTGAGTAAGAACAAGAGAATCTCCAGGGCATTCTTTCCACCTGTCTTCACAACTCCCTCCGGAACTCTAGTGGAAATGTTCAGTTGTTTGCCATTCCATGGCCTGGCATAGTTGTTGGTTGGTGAGCTGGTGCTCACTGAATAATCATCTCAGAAGTACACAGTACACAGGAGCTGAGACGATTCAACAAACCCATGCGATAAGAGCGTCGGTTTAGTAATTACGCAAATTCGTTGGGGCAGCTTGGTTGAAAACTGCTTGATGGATAGACCCTGAGCTTTGCTAATCTAGGAAGGTTTTCCTGGATGCAAAAGAGCTTGAGCATCCCTGCTTGTTGACTGTACCATCAGCTCGATCTTGTTCTGGTGGCAGGGTGTTCCCTGATGCCTGGTTGACCAGGGCAGCAGCACTTGCTGGCCATGACAGAAAACCAGCCATTGAAGTTTGGTTCCGTTCCTAGCCCATGTGGGGATATCAGCAGTCGTTATTATTGGTTGGTGATTTTGTTTGATCTAAGAACCTACAGTTTTTCTTGAATTCCTCAGCACTTCAATTCTGGAGCATATTAGTTCAGGGAAGGTGAGTAGTAGTAGTATTAATAGTAATATTAGCTAATACGCAAGCCTCTCTAAGCTCGTTACTTACCTACATTAATGCATTTAATCCTCACAACATTTCCATGTAGTAAGTGCTGGTGTCAGTCTTGTTTTATGGGTGAGAGATTCAGGTACTGATGGGCGAAGTTTTTTTTCTAGGGTTACTGGATTAGTGGGAGGCAAAGCCAGGACTTGAACTCACACAACCTTCCTAACATTCACTCTGGCTGCAGATTCTTTCTTGTTAACATGTTTACTACCTTTCTTTAAAGATCCCTGCTTTTTTCCTCCCAGGGAAGCCTGGAATTGCTCATCGAGACTTAAAGTCAAAGAACATCCTAGTGAAAAAGAATGGCATGTGCGCAATCGCAGACCTGGGCTTGGCCGTCCGTCACGATGCAGTCACCGACACCATTGACATTGCCCCAAATCAGAGGGTGGGAACCAAACGGTAGGAAGTCCCTGGGCCTCCGCCCTTACCCTGTACCTGTACTGAGTAGCTCCTGCGTGCCCTTCTCCGTTGTGCAGGAGGTATAGAGAAGGAGGTGTGGTCCTTGCTCTCAGAGGACTGAAAGTTGAACATTCACTCTCCGCACTGGAAAGCTACAGTTACACCTAACAGCTACAGGTGCCAAGATCATGGCTCCACAGAAAAGTGTACATGCAGGGTTGGTGCTGGTGTTGGCATTGGGCAAGGGAAGCAGCAGAGAAGAGAATCTGGAGCAAGATTTGGGAGGGGGATAGGCACCAGTCTTGTCTGAGGGAGGAGGGAAATGTCGCTATCCAAAGGGGTAACTTGTGCAGACTCCCCTGAGGAGGCGAGGAGCATGCTTTGCTCCGTGTTTAGAGGGCAGGTTTGCCAAGCTGGAGCAGAGGTAATCCGGGGTGGAGATTGGGGCACTCTAAGGATTATGGGCCTGCTTCCTGCTTCACGTAAAAATGAAGTAAGGCCTAAGGAATTGTGATTGCAGATCTATTTCACGAGTTGGAAAAGGAGCTGTCTTTTCATAGGAAGGAAGAGAGGAGGTCTGTTTATCTGTTGAATCTCAGTGAATTTCACTAAATTGTTCTTTTTTTTTTCTGAGTGAATGACTGACCCAGGCCCCAAATTGTGAGTCCTGAGGTGATCCCCTGATTTGCCTTACTGTGTAAATGTGTGGAGAGGTGTGGATCAAGTAGTACTAATTAGCTGAGAGGGACTTTGATGACTATCTAGAATTAATTTTCACATATCTGCAATCAGGTAAGATAACAAGTGTAGAATGAAATGTAAGTTCAACTCATCACTGTGGCTACATTTAATAAAGTCCAAGACCCCAGTAGTAACTAGGTATTATATATTACTACCCTGTGACCCACAGTACAATACCTCTGCCAAGAAATTAAAACATGTTAAAAATAAATCTTGATGGCTAAAAAGTAGAGGTACAGATTAGAGGAGCCTATGCTACTTACTACACCTATGCTGAGGGATTTAGATTTAAATCCAAAACACATGGGAGTTTACAATAAAAGAATTGATAAGTTCTTCCTCCCCAAGGAGCTTTTTTGGGGTGATGCTCACCCACAGTCAGAGGGCTCCTGAGTCAAGACTTTTTGATTTAACACATTGTGTACCGCATAGAAATCTCTAAGACATATGCCAGGGACTGCACATTTTTGGGCAAACTGCATGTTAGGTTCTGAGCTGCACTCATCTGAACCAGCAGATACCCATTCCCTAGCTACTTCAAGAGCATAGAACGGTGTGTGCTGTTTTTTGAACTTCGACCCTCAGGGCGAAGAGTCGCAAATACAATAATCCTATATTACCCTGAGTTTCAAAAACTGAAATAGCTAATGCAAGTGCAAACCCGAGTTAACTCGTGCGCGGTCCGCAACTTTTGGGCAGAAAAACAGGAGTTAACTCATGAGTGATCAAAAATGTGTTAAGAAGTCATCTTTTTCTATGCATGGTCATTTTCCTTTCCTGTTGCAGGTACATGGCCCCTGAAGTACTTGATGAAACCATTAACATGAAGCACTTTGACTCCTTTAAATGTGCTGATATCTATGCCCTCGGGCTTGTATATTGGGAGATTGCTCGAAGATGCAATTCTGGAGGTACTTTTCTTTCCTGCCTTCTCTTGCTCCTGCCTCCCGGTCTAGGATGCTGGATCACTTGAGGATGCTGGTGTTCTACTGCCTCCTTTGTACAACCTGTTGGTTGGCTGTCTAATGACTGAGTCCAATTACAGCGTTCTCATCAAATATGAGGGAACTTTGGAGGTAGCTGTGCTAAGGATGTATTATTCTTTGGACCAGCTTCTAAAATAGTATTTTACATTGTGATAACCATTCTGGAGGCTTATTTGGCTTTCTAAATTTTTTTTTTAAATCCTCACCCGAGGATATTTTTACATTTATCTTCACACAGAGTGAGGGGAGGGGAGAAATATCGATATGAGAGAGACACATTGATTGGTTGCCACCTGCGCAACCCCAACTGGGGCCAGGGACGAAATGCAACTGAGGTACGTGCCCTTGGCCAGAATTGAACCTCGGATTCTTTGGTCCATGGGCCGATGCTCTAACCGCTGAGCCAAAGCGGCCAGGGCAGCTTTTTAAATTAAACAAATTGTTTTTATCGGTCCTTGGCGGTTGGGAAAGTCCTGGAAAGGAAGAGCATGGGACTTATGCAGGAGTGTCCTGTATGCAGTGCTGGCACACTGGCTCTCAAGCTACGTTCCTGGGGAGCATGGGCTTCATTGATAAGTTAATAGTGGTAATTTCTAAATTTGTAGGCGAAAGCTTACCAATGTATGGAATTTTCTCAAAATGAATTGTTTTCCCCTTGTATTTTTTTTTTTTTTTCCTTAAAATTTGCCACTGCTCACTCATGTCGGAATCCAGTAAAAGGTAGTGTCAGATTTAGCCGGGAACATTTTTACCGTCAGCTTAGTACGTCAGTATTTTACAACAACTTTCTGCCGTGAGAACAAGTTCAAGGACCACTAGAACCCTGCCCTCAACCATTTATCTCTGATGTAAGAGATTCCAGGTCAGTGGGAGCGGATGCAATGAAGTGAGTCTTCCAGCTGAGCCCTTCTCTGTATCACCATCTTTTCTGTCTTTGGTAAAATTCAAACTATGGAGGAGGTATCTAGGTATTATGCATTGAATTTTACATCTAAAATTTTGGTCCTTGTAAACAGAAAAGAGATTAAATCTGGTCACATAGGTTTTAAACCAAATAAGTTAATTTGTTCTTCCTCATGTCATGCTGAAATTGGGGCTAAGTGTATAATAATAATGCTAACTTTCACCCCTGTTTATGTATAAAGTCATTTAATCTTCACTACAAACCTATAAAGTGGGTAGTAATCTTGTCACCATTTTGCAGATGAAGAAAACGAGTCACAGAGAGATGAGCTCATTTGTCCGGGTCACACAGCTGATAGACCAGGGTTCACACCCTGGCACCTGAGGCCAGAGCTCAAGCTCTTAACTACCCCTTAGATAACCACCCAGTCAGATTCTATTTAAAAATTTCTCCTACTAGCTCAGGACAGCAGAATTTTTCCTGGAAAGGGGCATGAGAAAGTTACATTGGATTTTTTAAATTAATTTTTTATTATGGAAACTATTTCAATTTGTAGCTCTAACTTCCAAAAATAATACTCTTATCATACTTTTTTAAATGAACATTAATTCTTAATATCATTTAACAGCAGTCAGTGTTGAGATTCCCCCAATTTTCTCCTAATTTCTTTTTTAAAGAGTTTGTTCAAACTTAGGGTTGAAATAATGTTCATTCGTTGTGGATGATGGACGCAACTCCTAAGTCTCTTATCTATAAGTTTTACTTCCATCTTCCCCTACTCCCTCCCCCCAAAGTTTTTTAATTGGAGAATCCAGTCATTTGTCCTGTAAAATTTCCTGTTTGTCTTTTTATGGAATTCACATGTTCTTCTGATCTGTGAATTTTCTGTGATAGTTACGTTAACGACTAGAATCATATTGTGTGTGTGTGTGTTTCAAAAGTCCTGTTACAAGGTACATCTGGTTATCTCTCTTTTTGTGATGTTAACAGTCATAGACAATCATTGTCTAAATTCATTAGAGGTTGAAAAATGCCAATATTTTTATTCTGTCTATCTTCATGTATTAGCTGGACTTCTTGAAAGAGAAACTTCCCCTAATTGTCTCTTTGGTTACCAAGATGTATAGTTTGAATAGGAAAGGCAGGAAAAATACTTGATTTCCATTTATTTACCATTTTTCAAAATAATGAATTATTTACCTATCATCTTACAAAGGTAACAGTGGTTTGGGGGTTTTTGTTGTTATTGTTTAGCATCATTATGAACTGGTAGATTTTAAATATTTGTTTCCATTGAAGTTATTGTTAATATCTATTCTTAATATTGCATAAATGTAATCTTTGGCCAGTCAGGAGCTTTTCAAGTTGGTGCCTTTTAATTCGACCTCAGTAGTCTTTGATAGTTTCCTTGCTTTTTGGTATGAAGGAGGTGTTCCTGGCTGACCGTCTGTGTCTGGTCCCTCCCTAGATCAGCCGAACTCTCCAAGAAGCCTCCTCCCTCTCGTGGGGCGTGGTCCTGGCAGACCACAGTGTGGCTGTTCTCGGTAATCGGTAATCGCTTCCTTCTGTTGGTCACTAGGGTGGATATTTTCTTTTCTTCCAGGAGTCCATGAAGAATATCAGCTGCCATATTACGACTTAGTGCCCTCTGACCCTTCCATTGAGGAAATGCGAAAGGTCGTATGTGACCAGAAGCTGCGTCCTAACATCCCCAACTGGTGGCAGAGTTATGAGGTAGGAAGCTCCCCCACCTCCTGCTGTTTTTCCATCTGTGTGATTTTTTCTACCTTACCTGACAATGGGTCCAACCCCCAGGGGTACCCCCTGAGAGTGTCAGTTATGATGTACCACTGTGTTATATACTAAGCCCTGCAGGGCCATAGTCCCTTGTCCTGAGCCCTGTGGGGTCCCCTTTGGAATTGACAGCCTAGTAGAAGAAAAAGGCTTGGCTCCCAGGACACAAATAAGATAAGTGGTCAAGCCCCGGCTGGTTTGGCTGAGCAGTTAGAGCATTGGCCCGTGGACCAAAGAGTTGTGGGTTCGATCCCTGGCCCCAGTCAGGGTTGTGCGGGAGGCAACCAGTCGATGTGTCTCTTTCACATCTATGTTTCTGTCTCTCCCTCTCTCTTCCTTCTCCTCTAAAAATTAACGGAGAAAATAATCTCAGGTGAGGATTAACAACCACCAAAAAAAGAGAAGTGGTCAACAAGAGACAAACAAAAAGCTAGCGGGAGCCATTAGACCTGTGTCACTAGGAGAGTGACTGTGGAGCCGCAGGGTGAGCCAGGCCACGGCCCAGGGAAGAAGCGGCCCCATGGCGGCTGCAGAGAAGTGAGGGGCTACTCAGCGGGCACGGCTGTGGGGGGCCATTCCGCCAACTCAGGAAAGGGAGGAAGATGTGGAGAATTTGAATTGGGGGGGATGGCAGATGAAGTGAGGAGGGGATAACATTTTGTGGAAAGAGTTGAAATGAGGACAAATTCATGATACAGATTCCTAACAAACCTGGAACTCTGGGGTCTTAGAGTCTTCAGGGGGCAGGGGGCAGCCTAAGTGCCTCTGGCCCTCTTCTCCCCTCCGGGCTCTCTCGAGGAGGGTAACCACTAGAGGGCGTTGCTGCACGAGGGACAGCTGCTCAGTCACACCTCAGCTGAATGAAGTGGCGTTGTCTATACCGGCCCCGGGGACCCGGTCGGGCTCACTCCAGAGGATGCGAATGAGGCCCGAGAGCTGCTGCGCCGCCATCCTGCCGGCGCTGCTCCTGTCGGCCTCTGCGCAGGCGTGCGCTGCACGGCTGAAGGGATGGAAGGCCACTGGCCGGGGGCTCTGGCCAGCAGCAGTCCGTCGGCGACCGTCCGCACAGCTCGTGGCTGCCCCGCGGTCGCCTGTGTCGCCCAGGCGGTGGCAGGGTAGCTTTGCGCCTCTGACAAGGCTGCTCTCGGGCTGGTTCCCTGCTGCTCCCCACCCTCCATCTCTGTAACCTCTGATCCGTGAGGTACAGCCAGGGCTGTGCTTGGGCCACGGTGTGTTTCTGGTTCATATGCTACTTTTTTTTTTAGAGAGGGAGAGGGGAAGAGAGAGTGAGATCGATTTGTTTTTCCACTTATTTATTCATTCATTGGTTGCTGCTTATATGTGCCCAGACCAGGGTTCAAACCCACAACCTTGGTGTGTGGGGACAACACTCTAACCAATGAGCTACCCGGCCAGGGCCCTAGAACATCATCCCAACACACCAAGGTTGTGGTTCACTCTCTGGTCAGGGCACATACAAGCTGCAACCAACAAATGCATAAACAAGTGGAACAACAAATTGATTTATTTCTCTCTCTCACTCTTTTTCTCCTTTCCTCTCTCCTGCCCTCCCTCCCTTCCTTTCTCTCTAAAATCAATAAAAAAATTTTAAAAAATAAAAATAAAAGAACAATTAGTATACAGTTACAAAAATGGATTCTCAAACCTGACAAATGATTTTCAGGTCACAGGCTGTTGTGGGTATTTCTGTCTGGATCACCCAGATGATGAGGAGTGTCTGGCTGTGCTTGGGAGACCCCCCTCTCCTGGCTGAGACTTTCTCCTTTTGCCTGCACAGCCTGTCCCCGAGGGAGGGACAAGCACGGGGAGAGGGACACTTGCACAGAGTTTCCTTAGCGCCAAAGAGGGAGAGGAGATTCTGATAGACTTTGCACTGAAAAATGAGGAGGAGCCTAGGGACCAGAAAGACTTCCGCCGGGCAGGGTTAAATTGATGCCCTCTGTGTCTCTGTGCAGGCGTTGCGCGTGATGGGGAAGATGATGCGAGAGTGTTGGTATGCCAACGGCGCGGCCCGCCTGACGGCTCTTCGCATTAAGAAGACCCTCTCGCAGCTCAGTGTGCAGGAAGACGTGAAGATCTAACCCTGCTTCCCTCCCCCTACATGCAGCCCTGGGCAGCGAGGACTACACAGAGCTGCCCTGCGGAGCGTACGATGGAGGCCTACCTCTCGTTTCTGCCCAGCCCTCTGCGGCCAGGAGCCTGGTCCGAAAGAGGGACAGAGCCCGGGAGACCCGCTCACTCCCATGTTGGGTTTGAGACACAGACACCTTTTATACTTACCTCCTAGTGGCGTGGAGACTCAGAGAGCGAGTGCGTGGAAAGCTCGGTGCCACAACTGAGACTGGTTCTAGCGGGAAGTCCCGCCAAACCAGGGCGCCTGGTGCACAGCCAGGGTGGCCGGCCTGGGGCCCGTGGAAGCAGAGCTGCCCGTGTGAGCAGGTTTCCGCCGGGACCCACCCAGCACACCAGGTGGCCCCTCTCGCAGGTGGTTCTGGGCCCGTGCTCCACCCCTGCAGGGACCTCTGGAGACTTCCAGTGGGGACAGAAGCTGCGGCCGTCTGTCTGGCCTGTGTGCATGTGCCAAGGCACATCTCCTGTTGTGCCTGGTCCACGCCACGCCCTTATATGTATGTGTGTGTGTGTGTGTGTGTGTGTCTGTGTGTCTGTGTCTGTGTCTGTCTGTCTGTTGGTGTGCACTTCCCTGCTTGAGCTTTCTGTGCAGGTGCAGGTTGGGGGTGTCTGTCATGCCGTCTGCGTGCTGGTGCCTCTGTTCCATAGTGAGCAGCGTCTCATTTCCTGGTGCCCTGCCTGCAGGTCTCCCTCCCCGCCCACCCCCAACTCTGAGCCACAGGTCCCCCTTGCCCTGCGGCTGCTCTTCCCATTCAGTACTGCTCCCCTCCATTCAGACTGGGGCCCAAGCTGGCCCAGTTGTCCATGGCACATGAGGCTTTGAGGTCCAAATGTGAGGGAGGGATGGGGTGCACAGGGAAAGCATCTTGGCTTAAGTCGTGGGTGTTGTGGTCAGCTGCCACCGTGGGAAATGAGCCAGCCCAGGGCATCGTCCTCAGCAGCGTCAAGGAAGGACCAAGGAGTTTGCAGCCCAGATCTTGGGACTCGGATTGGAATGTTACATCTGTCCTTCATGTCCCAGATCTTGGAAACAGCAGTGTATATTTTTGGTGGTGGGTTTAGGGTGGGGAAGGGAAAGGGGGGCAACGAGTGGGGAGGGTGTTAGGGGTGGGAGGGAGGCATCTGCATGGGTCTTTTACTGGATTTATCTGATCATGGTGGAGGGAAGATAGGAGGTTTGCCCCCACTTCAGGGCCCTACTAAAGGGAACAGCCTGAGCCGAATCATATTTAATCCGAGTGTAGTATTTAATGATGTCTAGAAGCACGGTTGTGGGTGTGGTTTGGTCAGCATATCTTAGGATATAATAACTTTGAAGCCATAACTTTTAACTGGAGTGGGGTTTTTTGTTGTTGTTGTTTTTTACTTTATTTTATTGGGAGGGTCTGGATTTTAACTTTTTTTAATATTAAGTTTTTATAAAAGGAAAACTATCTCTATGTGATAATTACCTCTCAATTTATTTGTTTTTAAAGAAATCACTACAAAAACAACCACACAAAAAATGCTTCAGTCGAACGCACATAGCTCAATCACACTGGAAATGTCTTCTTGTACCTGAGCCTGTTTCCACTCCGAGAGCTCCTGCCTTGGGGGTTGGTCTCTCTTGCATTCTGCCCCACCCCCAGTTCCATGAGTGGTTTGGGGTTAGGGCCCTCGCCTTCTGTGCATTGACCAGCTGGTTGCACCTTCTCCTCCTCCAGGCATTTACTCAGCAAATGCCGAGTCCCTGTCGGGTGCCAGGACCGCACCAGGTGCTGGGAATCCAGCTGTGAACAGACAGGCATGGGCCCTACCCTTGGAGCACTGAGGGAGGACCTGGTCCAAGTTAGTGGGCACCTTTCTTTTAGACCAGAAGTTTCATGCAGTCGTTGGTTCTGAGAGCCCTTGAGCCTGGCATGGCTGCTCTTGTAGAAAACCACTGAGAAGCAAGGATGTCCCCTGCGCCAAAGAGACTGGTGGTGGGCATGAGAGCCCAGTCACTGCATTCATTCCGGCCTCCTCCCTGCCCCCAGGGGAGCGCACTGTGGATGCAGCCTCACAGCACCCCGGGCTCCAGTCCGGCGATTCTCTGCCAAAGCTTGTGGAGGAGGGGGGGCCCTCTCCCTGCTTATGTGTCTCCCCAATGCCCCTGGCCTTTCTATTTATTTTCCTGATGTGTTGCCTCTTTCCTTGCATTAAAGGAGATGTTCCCCTAACCATTTGGGCCAATTTACTGGCTACTGACTAATTTCCCTCGAATACCAATGTGTCATCAGGGGACCTTCTTTCCCCACCCCTGCTGACCCCTCACCTCTCCACCCTGCAGCAGAACCTGGCGGGTTCTAGACTTAGACTCTTGTGCCCGTCACAACCAGCCTCTGGGATCTGCCAACACTCCTCGACCCGGGGACTACCAAGCCACTAGCCTACTCCCTAGGTGGCCCTTCTGCCCTCACCACACATGCAGTCCAGCTCCTCCACCCCTGGGGAAGACGAGCAGTTTGGGGGAAGCTCCCATCTTCACCCTCATCACTCTTAACACCAAGAGTTAGGAGTTGGGGGGGGGTGGACTATAGCCTGAAGCCGTGGTGTTTGGCCCCGGAGGCTAAACCTGGTCCTTAGGGCGACCTGCACCTCTGGATTCTGGATTCACAGACCAAGTCCAAGCCGTTCCTTTGTCGCCATCAAGGCCCCTGAACGGCATTCTCGGTACTTCTGTTTGTTTTTGTACATTTTATTAGAAAGGACTGTAAAATAGCCACTTAGACACTTTACCTCTTCAGTATGCAAATGTAAATAAGTTGTAATATAGAAAATCTTTTGTTTTAATATAAGAATGAGCCTGTCCAATTTCTGCTGTACATTATTAAAGTTTTATTCACAGAGCTGTTCTGGTGCTGTCTGTTTTCCAGCTGTGGGCTGCACCCAGCTGTGTCAGGGAAGGTGGGCATGTGCAGATGTTCTCGGGTAGTGCTTCTGCGCTCCCCCACGGCCGCAGCGTGGCAGGTCACGGGGAGAGGGAGGGGCTGGCCTGCTCCTGTTGGGTTTCCCTGAGACTGTCCTTCGTGTTCCATAGAGCGAGGCCCTGGCACGGGAGGGAGCAGAAGACACTGAGCACCTTTTCCTGGCTTTGTGTTTGTTTTGTAGCATTTTTCTCTTTAGACAGAAGAGGGGCTTGATCCTGCTTAGTCACAAACCACCTAGTCTCAGAGACGGCCTAAGAGCTCTCCTCGGTTTTGCTTCCCTGTTCTAAATTAGAGTATAAATGTGAATTTGGGGTTTGAGCTGGGAGTCTCCAGTGGTTCCTCTGGGGTTTTCAGTGTGGGGCTGTGAATGTTCTCTAGGCTAAGGGAGCCCGAGATAAAAGTCCTGGATCGTAGAATTCCATGTTTAGGCGGGGACCCCAGAGGGCACCTGCTCCACCATCCATCGGCCCTTGACTCCCCACAGCGCCCCTGCACGCGGTTGCGGGCCACGTGATCTCACACCTCCTGCTGTGACACTCAGGACCACGTTTCCACCTGCAGGCGGCTGTGGAGAACCCGGCAGCCTCCATGTGACTTCTGTCCACGGGCACTTCAGAGCAGGTCTCTCTTCCCTATAAGGCCTTTGAAATGCTCGAAGGCAGCTGTCGCGTTATCACGTATCTGGCAAAGCTTAGCGTTTCTTCGGTTAATATTAGCAAATACCGAAACTTTACTGTGTGCAAAGCAATGTGCCCACATTTGCTTTACATAGATTAATGGCTTTAATCCTAAAACACTGTGAGGTGGGCATTGTCCTCTCTTTATGGATTAGGAAACAGGGTTGGAAAACTCAAGTAAATTGACGATAAATCAGATAATCGTGGCTCACGAGGGTCGAAAAGACCTTGGGTTTAGGATGTCTGTCCACAGACCGCCGCCTTTCAGCCTCTGCACGGCACAGCCTCATGGTTCACTGTCCGTCCCCAGCCAGCTGCTCTCCGCTGCACCCAGCTGTAGCCAGGGGCAGAGGGCTCGCACCATTCCACCTGGGCCGCAACCGGCCGCGCAGAGGAGAACGAGTCCCAGAATGTGCTTCACACCTGCGGGTCACATCCCAGGGCTGCGTCTCATGTCCTGGGTCGAGTGGACTCCAGCCATCTCCTCCTCCCTCCATCCGGTGTAAGGGAAGCTGAACTCGAGTGCAGGACCTCCGACGTGTACCCTGGTAAATTTTACTATAGAGTCTGCCCGTTGCTCCAGCCTGTCAACATTTTAGAATTCTGATTGTTTACCCAGACCTTTTCATTCTGAGACTTGGGCTGGAGAAAAACAGGTAACTTACCTTTAGAAGTCGGCTTTAAGTTCGGCATATATCCCCATAACCCAGACTAGCTGCTAATTAAATGGTCCCTGGCCATAATTCTTTGATGCACAAGGACAACAGCCAAAGCCCAAGTAGCTTGCTGAAGTGACAAGGTGTTAGGGCTGCGGCGCCTCTGACCTGCCTGCCAGCAGGAAAGGTGAAGTGGCTAACCTCAGCCCCTTTCAGAGACAGTCATCCTGCAGGCGAGGACCTGCGGCTCACCAGGCTGTGGACTGCAGGTTGCACTTCATTCTGGAAATCAGAACACCCGCCATCTGGCACCTCTTCATGTGCCCTTAAAGGTTACTAACAGTGTTGCACCTTTGTAAGGCCCGGTACAGGAGACCTGAATTCATCTGAAGGGTGTAGCACGTGGGTTTTGTTGCACGCATGTTAAATTTCTGTTCCCCCGGCCATGTCTTCTGATCTTTTCAGTCTGGAAAACATGCTTGCTAAATACAACCAAAACAGCATTAGGAGCAGAGTAGCAGCATTCAAGAGACTCGGGAACACATGAGGGATGCAGATGAAGGTGGCGGGAAGGGAGGAAGCTTTGGATCCAGCCAGTAATGGTGTATTAAGGTTCTCTGGAGAAAGAGAACCAATAAGATAGATGATAGGTAGGTAGATAGATATTTTCAGGAATTGACTCATAATTGTGGGGGCTGGCAAGTCTGAAATCAGGCCAACAAGCTGGAGAGTCAGGGAGGAACTGATGACGCAGTCTTGTGTCCGAAGGCAGGCTGGAGGCAGAATTCCTTTTTCCTCAGGGGACCACAGTCTCTTAAGGCTTTCAACTGATTGGATGAGGCCCATCCACATTTGGAAGGTAATCTGCTTTACTGAAACTGCGGATTTAAATGTCAGGCATATCTAAGACATCTTCCCAGCAACATGTAGACTGGTGTTTCACCAAGCAACTGGGCATCATGCTCACCTGAGTGTTGGTGGGCATCCCATGGTCAGACAGGATGGCATCTAAGTAATGTGGCAGGTAGCCTGTGTCTGTCTGGGAATGCTTCTTGGTAGCCAAGAATGGGGGCTAATAGGGTAGGAAGATTTAAGGGACAATTGGATAGACTAGACTCTAAATAAGCATTTGTTGAGCAACCTCAATGTGTAAAGCAGTAGGCAGAATGAACAAGCTGGTCCCTTCTCTTCAGGACAGAAAGGATTTGTACAGAGAGAATAAAACAGATCTTGGCAGATCCCATTACAGATCAATACGTAACGGGTGATAGCAGCACGGATAAGGGGCCTAGGAAATCAAGAACGATCCCTGTCCTCCAGGGCCCCCCGGGCTGGTGGAATGGGCTAGTACATAGATGACTACAATGGACTGAGGTGCTATGACAGGGTAGACACGGAATACTCTGGGAACACGGGACAGACAGGAGGTTGGGGTCAAGAGAGGTAACATCATGTCTATTTTGGAGTAGACACTGGCCTGCTGATTGAGAAGAGGGGTTTTAGTCCACACAAATGTGCCACTATTCAAGGACCACAGATGTCCAACGTGGCTAAAGCAAGAAAGCCAGGGCTGCAGTGAGGGATCTGTTGGAGTTGTCATGTGCTGAGGAGTCAAGACTTCATCCTGGGGCCATCCCTTGCCCTCTCAGTACCCCCAAAGGTGCTAATCTATCAGTAATTTTTCTTCTTTTTTGTTGTTGTCGTTAATCCTCACCCGAGGATATTTTTTTCCACTGATTTTTAGAGAGAGTGGACGGGAGGGAGGAAGGCGGGGAGAGAGAGATGTGAGAGAGACACAGTGATTGGATGCCTCCTGCACATACCCCAGTTGGGGCCAGGGATCGAACCTGCAACCCAGGTACCTGCCCTTGACCGGGAATCCAACCTCCAACGCTTGGGTGCTCGGGCAATGCTCTAACCACTAAGCAAACACTGGCCAGGGCAGTAATTTTTCCTCTTGAGTCTAGACCTGGTCTCCAAATTTTTCTCAACAGCATGCTTCTGTGGAGTTGTCCCACAATCTCTTTGTCATTCCTGATGTGGGGAATAGGCTATTTGAAGCAAGGGAGTGATGTGATCTTGTTTGTGCGGGACCATCAAGTGCTGACTTCTGGAGGCAGTTGCAGTGGTGGCAGCAGGACCAGCTGCAGGAGGGGGGAGGCTGCTGGTAGAATGCAGAGATCTGGGGCATGATCAAATGCAAACAGTGAGGGAGAGGGGAGCTGGCCAGTTTAGAGTAAACAGAAGAAGCTTAGCCTGGTGCACGCTATCCTCCGGGAAGGGGAGCCAGCGATGAACCACCAGAGCAGCTGTGTTTGCCAAGAGGGTGGAGATCTGGGGAATCTGGGTGCCTAAGAGCTGTTGCTTTCTTTGCTAGTCGTACCTGTTCTGAAAGAAAGCAGGGTACACACCCTCTGTGCTAGGGTTGGTGCTGTGAGGAAGCTGGAGACACCTGGCCACCCCTAGGTAGTCCCTGGACTCTGGGTGGGAAGAGACTTAGAGGCCACCCGTATCCAACACAAAGAGACTGCCATACCTGCCTTGCCCCAGCTCCCAGACCCCCTAGAATCAAGTCTGGGCTATGCTAGACCCCACACACGCACACACCGCTGGGCTCCCCAGGCCATAATACCACACAGACTATCCCATGGAAACTGTTGAGCAATAGGAGTCATTCAGAAAAACAACCACTCCCTGCCCCATCAGCTGCCCACCGGCTGTCCATGCCTCCCCCAGTGTCAGGCAACTGGGGGCCCACCCCTCATTCCTGACTGGAGAGCCAACTGAATCCCAGGCCCTTTCCCTCTGACCTCCCTGCTCAGGAGCATTGGCAACACCCGAGTGGTGCCCCGGTGGCAGAACAGCCATCCCTGCCAGCCCTGGCTGAAATGACAACTAGAACTCTGACACTGAGCGAGACTCCACAGGGGCCTGAGCTTCTGGAGCTTTCGCCCCCAGGCCCCCAGCTTCCCTAGAGCTTGAGCAGGTCGCTGGGGGCAAGATCCACTCTCCCCATTTCCTCCATGGGGACGGTTGACTGTTGAGTGTCTAGGGGAAGGCTTGTACCAAAGAGGAGCGGGTATTGGCCGTGCCCATTAGCCAAGCCCTGCTGTCTGTGCCCCCAGCGCACGCCAAGTCCTACCCTGAGAGCTGGGAGCCAGGGCAGCTGGAGCCAAAGGAGCCAAACTTGGGGAGCTCATTCTGAAAGGCAGGGACTTGCTCTTGGGAATAAGTACAGATTGAGAGCAGATGTCTGAGGAGTCAGAGCGTCGGAACTTTTGTGAGGAGGTTTCCCGGAGAGAGGAGAAAGGAGGAAGATGTGCCCTGGTATGAGGTTGCTGGCAGTGTGCAGCGTGCTCCCCCAAGCTTTAAGGAGCTGCAGAAGAGAACGAGAACAGATGCTAGACAAGACACTTGGGCTCAGGAGGAAGTCGTGGAGGGTTGGAAAAGGCAAAGCTCTAGGGGCCTCTCGTGTCGTCTGGCGGGCGGAGGTTGCAGAGAGGTGGCCCTCCAGCTCTGCCCTCCTGGTGAATTTCACACCTGCCCCAGGGCAGCACTGCCTGAGATGGAAACACCTTCCTCACTGTGAGAGGTGAGAGTCCAAACTCGGGGACTTAAGTGGAGCTTGGCATCTCAGGGGAACACAGACCCACTGGGGCAGGAGAGGAGTTGTGGGGGACCCACAAAACCAGCTGGGGTTCCAGGTGGAGTCCGCGCACCAGCCCTTCAGTCTGGTTTGAATATTTTCCACCAAGAGACTCATGACCACCAGAGGGCATCGCCACCCCATCACCTCCCCTAGAGAAACTGGGGAGATGGGGGGCAGGGAACAGGCTCTGGGGTCAAGAGACCTGGAGTCTGTGGGTTCTAGTGCTTGTTCTGCCACCATCTTTCCCTTCCTGGCCTCAGTCTGCTCCTCTATTAAACGAGGGCTTAAAACACATGGTATCCCTTCTGGACCGCAAGGCCCTTTCTAGCTCTGAAATGCCGGGATTTGGAGAAATCATGCAGTGAGGCAGACAGAAATTGCGTCTCCCAGGCCCACCCTTACTCTGGGGTTCTCTAGGGCGCTCTGCCTGGCAGGAGGAGGACACTTGTGTGACCTCTGGTGGTGGTCTCGCACTTGGAGGAAGGGAGGCCGGCTGAGCTGCATACTGAGGGGAGTCTCTGCCTCCTCAGCCTCAGGAGGACTGTCTCAACAGGGCTGTCCCGCACAGGTGCCGAGATACCCAGGGCCTCCACTTCTCCAGGTTCCGGGCAGGGAGGTCAGTTGGGTAGGAGCCCCTGGGTAGGTAAGAGGTTGTGTAAGAGCCCTTTTGTAGGTCCCTCCCAGGATGAGCACAGGAGTGCAGAGAATAGAAACCATTGCCTCTCCTGCCTTTGCTCGCCTTCCACCCCCAGCACAGATGCCGTCTGTCAGGAGCAGGCAGCAGCCAGTCCAGGGGTCCATCTGTGCTAATGCTTCACAATAGAGTCCCATGTTTCCCCACTGACACCCCCTCAGCCCCTCAGCTGATGGCCACTTGATGGTGCCAAGGGGAGAAGTGGGAGGAGGGAGAGGAAGGCTCTAAGGGAGTTAGCTCTTTGCTCCTGGCAGTCCCCAATCCACCCCTGCCCCCCACCCAACAGGCATCCTGCCATCTGGACTTGTGTAATCACTGAGGGGTGGAAAAGCATCCCCTCCCACCCACACCTCCTGCAGGGCGGGGGCTCCAGGGACCTGGAGTAGGGAAGAGACAGACACAGAAAGTCAAGGAGACAAGGAAGCAAGGAGACTAAGACAGACCTGGCCATCCTGCCTGCCCCAGGTGGATATTGTCCCTCTGTTGTCCTCATGCCAGGTGTCTAACACAGCACTTGTATAGGTACTCCCTGCCAGACCAAGAGCCTCTCTGACTCCAGTACCTAGCCAGGACCTGGCATGGAGCAGGGCTTAAATGCAGAGAGAATGAAAAACCGAAGCTGACAGCTTCACATAGTGTTGGATTGCAGGCTCCGGGATCAGGCTGTCTGGGTTTGAATCAGCCCTGCTACTGAGTCTCCTAGAGCAAGCTACTTAACCTCCCTGGGCCTCCGTCTCCTCATCTGTAAGGGAGGATAATGGCACCTACTTTATAGGGTTGTTATGAGAACCAAATGAGTTAATTTGTGTATGTGAAGGCACATCCAGGGCAGTGTGCACAGCACATGGTCAATGTCCAGTGAAGGTTGGCTTTAAAGGCTAACTCAGATTTGGGAAGATGGGGGGAGGAGGGGACAGTCAGGAACAGTCAGGGACAGTGCATTCCTGGCCTCCCCCTCTGTTTGGTGGCTGATGTGGTACTTGACACCCTGTGGTGGCTACTTGCTCCTCACTTCCTCCTCTCACTTCTTATTTAGGCACCACTGACGACAGAGACTTCTGCTGGGTCGTCCCCATCTCTCCCTGGCCTGGGAGCCACCCTGTCACAGCCCTAGGGATGGTCCCTAAGACAGGGCGAGAGTGGGCTGAGCACACCCCCAACCCCAGCACCGGCTCAGGCACACTGCTTCTCCATGAGCCAACTCCATAGCACGGATCTGTCTGTTGGGAGAGGGATATCTGAGCTCTTCCCTTTCCCTTTGAAAAGCCTCTTTCATCTCTGCTGGGGCAGCTGTGTAAAGGGGAAATCCTGGGCCCTCTCACTCTCTGGGACTTCTGCACAGTCCATTCAGGGGCATCTCTTCCCCAGGGACCACACCCCTCCCCCTGCACAGCCCTGCTGCCCCTCTCGTCCTGCCTAAAGTCTCCTGCAGCCCCCGGGATCTCCTAGAATCTCCCCTGGGTCTCCAAACCCCACAATGGCCTCTTACTGTCCATCCACCACCATCTGTGCCACAAGTCTCCAAAGCCATCCATTCGCCAACTTTCAAGTCTCTCACACAAGCCCCTTCACAGACTGCCCTCCCCTAGGTATCACCGAGCCCGCTGGAACCCGCCCCACCTTCCCAGCTATGTCCCCCCATACGCCCTGAGCGCGCTGGTCCCGGAGTGGGGCGCCATGGGCGGGGCTCCAGACAGCACCCCCCTGGGGGCGGGGCCTGCGGCTCTGGGGGCGAGGCCACAGGGAGGCCGTCCCCCGGGTCCGCCCAGCTGATCCTGTGGATCCTATAAAGGGAAGCGACCCGTCCACCGCCTGGCTGGCATTCCCGAGCTGCAACCATACCCGCTGCTCGGAGCGATCGCCGTCTCCGGGGGGCGCCGGGCGCCGGAGCTATGACCCTTCGCAGACTCCGGAAGCTGCAGCAGAAGGAGGAGGCAGCCGCCGCCCCGGACCCCGCCGCCCGGGCTCCCGACTCAGAAGTCGCTCCGGTCCGGACCCCGGCCTGCGGCCCCCCTGCCGCAGCAGCCAGCCCCGGGCCCCCGGGGGACGAGCTGTATGCCGCGCTGGAGGACTACCACCCTGCCGAGCTGTATCGCGCTCTCGCCGTGTCCGGGGGCACCCTGCCCCGCCGAAAGGTGCGTCCTCCACTCTTCCAATTCCCGTACCCGGCCCCCGGTGCCCCTACCCTCCACCCCCAGCGTCCCTTCCTCCAGACCCGTTCGAGCCCTCAATACCCTCCACATGTGCCTGCTGACCCCCAACACACCCCGCTGAGCCCCACAACATTCTGCTTGTGGTCCAGCCAGTCTTTCATGGTGTTCCCCAGCCTGCAGACCCCCACGGCCACGTGCAGAGCCTGCTGAGCCCCCTCGGCCCCTTCCTTGGAAGGTGCCAGCCTCTGCCCCCCACCCCCACCCCTCCGCAGTCCCGCCTCCACTCCGCCCAGTCTTAGGGCTCTTCACTCCGTTCCCCACTCCCCACCGCCCCATCTCGCTCCTCTCCCTCCTGACGCCCCCAACATCCCCTTCTCCTCCCCATCCATCTGGCCAGCAACTCCTGCGCCCAAGGTGTCTCTAGACCCCTAGGATCCCTCGCCGGGACTCCGGTTGGAGCGGGGAGGCCGAGGGCTGGGGTCCCGCCGCTCGCCCAGACCATTGGAGGGTCCGAGCATCCGGGGTGGAGAGGAAGGTCGGTGGATGTGCCTAGTCCAAGACAGCGCTCCCCCCTTGTAGGGGACGCCTGGATGCCTAGGCTCAGGGCTGACGCCTTGACCTGCGTCTGAGGTGCAGCGTGCGAGGTTGGTCACGGCTCCTGGACTCTGGCTGTGACCGGACGCGGTGGGAGGCGTCACAGGGCGCCCGCCGGGCAGGAAGGATGCGGGCCGCGCCCGCCCTCTGAGTCTCCCCTCCTCCGTCTGCCGGTTCTTCCTCCGGCCCGAGGGAAACCCGAGCTCTGGGGGCAGGGGGGGCAAGACCCAGGTTAAAGAGAAGGGGCTGGTGGCCTTTCCTCACTCAGTCCCCCCTCCTCCTCTGGTCCTTGCCCCCTCCCCCCCAACACAATGAACAGCTTGTTGAGAATTTGCATTTTATGAAAATAGGATGGAAAGACAAAGGGGTCTCTCTCTATGCTGCCCAGTCCTTCCTCCCTGGCCCATTTGGGAACTGTCCCCACCCCTGAGGCCAATCTTTGGTTCTGGAGAAAGAGGGCTCCCTTATCTTCCTAGCCTTGGGGAAGCCTGGGAGGAGGGTAGACTAGGGGCCAATCAGGAAGGCCTTAGGCTCTTTGGAACACGCAGGGCTGGTCTGGGGCAAGGCTTCTTCCAAGGACCAATAATTTAGGGGGAGAGAGAGACTGCTTTAGTTTCTCAAGGGCCTTGAAGAGGCAGGAACCCTCAACTCTGTCAGCCCCCCCCCCAAAAAAAAAGAAAGTTAAAAGAATTTCTAGTCTCTCTCCTAAGTATAATGATACTTCAGGATACATTTGAGAGCTAAGTTTTTTGTTTTTGTTTTTGTTTTTTGTCTCAGAAAGCAACTAATGTATGGCAATGTCAAGAGGCCCATGCTGAGCTGGGCACAGCCTGTCCTTTGGAGGAGATTGGCCCCTCTGTCTCTTGCCTTCCCACAGTCAGGCTGGACTTGCCAGTCCTGAGACCTGGGCCCCAACCCCAGCTCCCCCAAGCCATTGTCTGTGATTGAAAGATTAGGAGAGCCCTGACTATCAGGGTGTCTCTGCAGTGCCTTGATAGGCAAGGCCAGGGGCCTCCTCTCCCACTTTGGGTTGGGAACCTCTGCGGAGAGCCCTTGCCTCCACTTAGCTTGGCTTTCAGGAGTCCAGGAGGCCTGCTCCCTTGTAGACATGCACCCTGGGAGTGGAGACTAGTCTATCTAGATTAATAAAACCCCTCACCCCCAGAGTGGGCTTAGAGGTTCATGTGTCTGGAACCCAGGAGGACTGCTGTGTCTCTGCAAGCCCAGTTACGGGGAGAAAGCCAGGGAGTGACAGTGGCACTCACCAAGTGGTTACACAGCACAAAGCAAGTGCGCAAGTGGGACCTCACCACAGGGAGTGCTGGGTCCAGGCCGAGGGACCTGTGAGGGACCTCCCAGAGTGGGGTGTCAGCGTCTGCTCAAGGACAGCCCCTTTCTCTCCTGCTCCTTCCTAACTCTCCACCTTCCTGCCCAGGGCTCAGGATTCCGCTGGAAGAATCTCAGCCAGAGTCCTGAACAGCAGCGGTGAGTAACCACCACCCCAACCCCTGCGCTGGTCCACAGGGTAAGGTGCCTGGGTGGGGGTGGGGGCAGCATGACAGCATCTCAGCCCAGCCAGAGGGAGTCATTCTCCCACCCTTTCAGCATGGCTCTCTCACTTGAAGTAAGGGGCATGTGGGGGTGTGGGCTGTGTGAAGGGGGTGGCAAAGAAAGGAGGTAGGGACTTTTGAGTCATCAGGTATTCCTCAACCCACCTCGGTCCCTGCAAATTACCCCTCCTGGGAGATCCGGACCTGGGAGGTGGAGGAAGCAAGTGAAGTCTTCAGGATCCTGAGCCCTCCCAACCCCAGCAAACCCAGAGGGCCTAGACCATAGCCAAGCTGTGTCCAGCTGCTTGGGCCTGGCTGTCCCTGCTTCCAGAAACTAAGTCCCATTCTGTGGTGGCGCCTCTAGGAAGGATCTGAGGAGAGGGCAGACATAGGTGCTGATCTAAGGCCCTGCTTTTCTGTGTCCCATCCTGATATGGGCTAGGCTTCTTCTAAAATGCATCAGCAGACTACGGCCTGCTGGCCAGATTGGCCTGTTTGGCACTTGAGCTAAGAGTTGTTTTTATATTTCTAAAGGGTTGTTAAAATAAACACCAAGAACCACATATAATAGAGGCTGAATGGGTCCTGAAAAGAAAGCCTAAAATATTTACTATCTGACCCTTTGCAAAAAAAAGTTTGCCAACCCTTCCAGAAAACCAGAGAGCACTGGGGTAGACTTAGAATTTCCAGTCGCCCTGCTCCTGGCCTCAACACACACAGAGGGTTCATAGTGGGGAGGAGCACAGGTTGGGGCTGGGAGTTACCACTCAGCATTTGGGAAGTATCTGGGTCAGGCTGAGAGCTAGGGACCTAGGTCTCCAGGGCCTTTCTGAGGCTATGAGACATGAAGGGGCCTTTGGCAGCTGCTGTAAGTCTGCCTCTGGCTGGGAGGGAAGGAAGGGGGTGGGGTGGGCAGAGGAAACTCTGGGCTCCCCCAGCAGGCGAGGATCTGGAGTAGCTCCAGACCATTGTGTCCAGTGGGCAGGCCTTCAGTGCAGGAAGGGGCGGCCTTGAGACTCCCCTCCCCCCAGCGCTCACATCTGGTGGGCTGGCCCCACTGCAGCTGGGAGGAGCAGCTGTGGTCTGGGCTTAGCCTCGTGACTGGCCTCTGGAGGTAGGGCCAGCCCTCTTCCCAAGGCTGTGGATCAGAAGAGGCTCCAGGCTGGGGCTGAATTTGGGGCCTCAGCTACACAGCAAGTGGTACTCTGGGGCTCATAGGAAGGAGAGACTGGCTGAGAAATTCAGCTAGTCCACCATTTGTGGGGGCTGGACAGTCCCAATGCCTCCCCCCACTGGAGGCTGGATTGATTCTGTGCAGCTGGATGAAGCTGATTTCAGCTGGATATGGGGAGGGACATTCCAGCCACTTGTGAGGAGAATGAGTTGTCATAGGAGCCAGCGAGCCCTGACCGAATGTGCCAGAGCAGATGCCAGCATCGGTGGAAGACCACACTGTGGCACTGCTAAGCTCCGTTTCAATCTGACTCTTGATGAGATGGCCCCTGTGTCTCCTGCAGGAAAGTGCTGACTTTGAAGAAGGAGGAAAACCAGACCTTCGGCTTTGAGCTCCAGGTGGGAGAAACTGGGTGCAGAGCAAGACAGGGGTTGGGAGGCAAGTCTGAGGAATGGGTGGACCCCGCCCCAACCCAGGACTGAGGGTCCCCTTGTCTATTGCAGACGTATGGCCTTCACCACCGGGAGGAGCAGCGTGTAGAGATGGTGACGTTTGTCTGCCGGGTTCATGAGTCAAGCCCTGCCCAGCTGGCTGGGCTCACACCAGGTGGGGCCCGAGCTCAGGACACAGAGCTCTGGGAAAGGAGTATAACCTTACTCCCAAGCAGAGGGGACAAGAAATCTCTTCTAAAATCAATTCCCCTTCCCTGTCCTATTTTAGGAAGGCCAGAAAGAAGAATGGGTAGATTCCAGGCTTTGGATCCAGGCAAATTTGCCATTTATTGTGTGATCTTGAGCAGTTCTGTTTATAAATGGGGACAATAACATGTCCTCATATTACAGTGTGGTGAGGGGGTTCCCTGGACACAGAGCCAGGGTCTGGTAAATGCCAGATGTTGCTGTTGCTGTTCTGCCTCCTCCTGGCAAACTGGCAATCCACCATGGGGAGGGGTTGGGAAAGGAGCAACATTCCACTAGATCTGCCTGATATTGGGGATCAGGGCCCATCCTGCCCCTAACCTGGTCCAGATCTGGGGTAACTGTGTTACTTTCTCTAACAAGGAAATGATACTGAAACCAGATAACTAATGGGTCCGGGCCCCCTGTCACTACTTGAGCCAATTAAGCAGAGACCAGGTTGAATTGTATATGAGCATTTATTCCAAGATTGCCAGCAGTAGGGGAGAGCAGTGGGTCATCCCGCAAAACCTGCTCTGCCCCCTCACTTGCCAGCTGCTTTTAAAGGGTAGAGAAACAGCCCGGCCGGTGTGGCTCAGTGGTTGAGTGTTGACCCATGCACCAAGAGGTCGCTGGTTCAATTCCTGGTCAGGGCACAGGCCCAGGTTGTGGGCCAAATCCCCAGTGGAGGGCTTGCAGGAGGTAGCCAATCGATGTTCTCTCTCATCGATATTTCTATTTCTCTCCCTCTCCCTTCCTCGCTCTCTAAAATCAATAAAGAAAAAACAAACAAACACAAATTTAGATTTAAAAAAATAATAAAGGGTAGAGAAACAGCCGTGGCTGGTTTGGCTTGGTGGTTAGAGTGTCAGCCCTCAGAACGAAGGGTCACAGGTTTGATTCCTGGTCAAAGGCACATACCTGGGTTGCAGGTTCGATCCCTGGCCCCAGTTGGGGTCATGCAGGAGGCAACTAATTGATGCGTCTCTCTCACATCTATGTATCTCTCTTCCTCCTTCTCTCCCTCCCTTACACTCTCTCTAATAATCAGTGAGAAAATATCCTCGGGTGAGGATTAAAAAAAAACACACACAAAAACAAAAAAGTGGGGGGAGGGGTTGCTGCAGAGGCTGGTCACCAGTGAGTCACACTCACGGGTCCAGTGTTCCAATAATCAGGTTCTTAATCTTTCCCTGTGTCCTCAGATTAGGAGAATGGACAGCATTCCTGACGTAAGCTCCTGAGGCACACACCTCCCGGCCAGGTCAGAGTGGGCTTTTCTTTCATCAGAACAAAACAACCAGGATTGACATTGCAAAGGATGATTAGCATTTCTTATAACTATGGCTAGTACGTTACTATGATTAGTTCTCTATTCTATTCTTCTCCCACCCCTTTCATTCCCTCCTGTTGATTTTAACCTCTCATATCTATGAGATTAGTTTTAAATGGAAAGTATCTTGTTGTTGAACTGTGTTATTCCTGGCCTATTATAGTTTCCCCTTATGGATTTTGCCTCTGAATCCTTTCAAGGGAAAGGGGCATCAGGTCTCTTCTGTAACTGCTTTGTGCTGATGGGGTTGTGGACTCCCGAGATTCTCCCTGTCTGACAAAAGAAGGGGGGCGGAGCCAAATGAGGAAGGCTGTGTTTAAATGAAGCCAGTAGACCATCCATATTTCACTGACTCAATCATAAGTCCAAACCATTGAGTCTTATATTTCAGAAGATTGTGATGCAGATGGCTTCTATAATGAGGCCTCTATTGTGTGAATAAGCAATTAGGTGAACAGGGATATAGGCATATATTCTATAAAACAGAAGAACACATAACATAAAGGTTAATATATATATTAAATCATAAACCATTTGAGATTTCCAGGCATAAGGCTTCTGCTAAAATGAAATCATATAGTGACAGTCTGACAGACTGTCTGAAGTTAGAACATTCAGGTGGCTATCGGGTACTGAGGCATGTATGGCACACACAGACAGCCTTAAACAAAACTTTGAAGATAATCAACTGCAGTGGAGTTCAATAGCCATCATTGGGTTTTGTGGTTTTCACTGGGGCATAATTTTTCTCTCCCTAAGAGTACCTTCCTGTTAAAGAGAACTGTATTAAGTTCTGGCTTGGTTATCTGCATAAACACAAGAGAATCAATAGATCAAATTGATCGCACAGGCTTTCTCCAATTTTACTTTGCTGGAATGTTACTCACTCATAAGGAATCTGTAGATCTAGCCCTAGTGAGCAGTCAACAGTCAGCCCCTCAGGGCAGAGAAGGCAAAGCCACAATTGCCATCAGGTGGTGCCTGGAACACCTGCAGATTGGGGCTGTGTCCCCAAGTCTTTGAGGTTCCCCAAGATGCTGAGGTTCCTTTTTGCCATCTTTCAGGAAAGCAACCTTCATTCCTTACCTGAAAAAATTGCTATGAGCCACATGACCAAACAAGGTACCAGGTCATGTCTCCAAAGGGCTGTGGGGGCTTCAAAGCCAATCTTCTTTCCTTAAAGCTTTCTGGTGACATCCAGAGTCCTGGCATGTCTCTCTCAGACATGACATTCCAAAGTCTTGGTTAATAAAACCACAATTGGAAACTGGCTTTATGTGTCCTGTTATGAAGAAATCAGATTCCTATTGGATTCATGCAAATAAATGAATTGCCATGAAAGTAATAATACTCATTAAGGGCTTCCAAATTCTGGAGGGATCAGATGGGGAGAAAAATATGAATACCTCAGTATTGCTTCTGAAAGTATAATTTACTAAACTGCTTTAAGAAAAGAAACAAGTTTCCTTATGCCTGAAAAACAAAAAGATTAAAATTAGCAGTACTTAAAAAGAATTACCAAAACTATAATTATTTTCAGGTCATTCGGTCTCATAATCAAATTCTGTTTCTCCTGATTTTTTTCTTGTCAGTACTTCCATAAATTCAGATGTTCCCTAGAGTTCTAATGATTTCCATCCAGTTCAAGGGGATTATCTGGAAATTTATTCTCAGAGATATGTAATTTAAAATAAATCAGAGTCCTTTCCATAGATCTTTTTTTTTTTTTTTTCATTCTCACCCGAGGACATTTTTCCATTTTTTGTTCAGATAGAGTGGGGGAGAGAGAGAAAGAGAAACATCGATGTGAAAGGGACACATCGAGTGGCTGCCACCGCACGACCCAACCACGGCCGGGAACAAACTACAACCGAGGTACGTGCCCTTAGCGGGAACCGAACCCGAGTCTCTCCGGACCGCAGGCCAATGCTCTAACCATTTATCAAACTGGCCAAGGCTTTTTTTTTTTTAATTCCTTTCCATGGGTCTTTCAGAAGATGCACCATCTTTGCAAATGCATCAGAGTAAAACAATGACTGTCTGCCCTGGCCGGTTTGGCTCAGCGGTTAGAGCGTCGGCCTGCGGTCCGGAGAGACCCGGGTTTGGTTCCCGCTAAGGGCATGTACCTCGGTTGCAGTTTGTCCCCGGCCCTGGTTGGTTGTGCGGGTGGCAGCCACTCGATGTGTCCCTTTCACATCGATGTTTCCCTCTCTCTCTCTCTTCCTCTCTCTCCCTCCCACTCTGTCTGTACAAAACATGGAAAAAAAAAATGTCCTCGGATGAGGATTAAAAAAAAAAACAATGACTGTCTATAAATGACAAAAAGGAAACTTGAAATGACAGTTATAGATTTAATTACAATGTAATTGACACAGAATCCTGTCCTTTTTGTAAAACACAACATTCCAGAATAACAGAGTTATAAAAAATAGTATATCAAAATTTGTAGACTTCTGGAGATTTTTAAATAATCTCCAGAACATCCATTAATAATATGCATATATAAGTAAAATATAGTTATTTCTTTATTTGACAAAGTTTCCCATGTACCTTAAGTATAAATTTTGTTTTCTTCATCAGGAGAGAAAACAAATTCTTGAGGCATTCCAGGGCCTACTGGAAAGACCTAAGCTAATTCCAGGTCAAGAAAAAGTATGCTTTAAAAAAAAAAAAAATCAAACCCTGGGAAGGTTGTCAAACATATTTTACTAAAAGATTATATAATAATATTATTATAAAACAGTATTAAATTATTTATTCATTCAAAGTGACAACAAAAGTTGTTAAACACAAACATAGGTTAGTGATGCTTCATTTCTTACCATTATGAAGATGGTGTTTTTTTAATTATTAATTAATTAATTTATTTATTTTTATTCTTCATCTGAGGATATTTGTCAACTTATTATCAGATACAGTGGGAGGGAGACAGAGAGAAACATTGATGTGATAGAGCCACATCGACTGCTTGTCTTCCACATGACCCCACCAGGGCCGGGGACAAAACAACCAAGGTTGCCCTTGACCAGAATTGAACCCGTAGTGCTCTAACTGCTGAGCCAGACTGACCAGGGTGATGGTGTTTTAAATATCGTTTTATTGGTTTTTTTAGAGAGAGAGCAAGGAAGAGAGGGATAGAAACATCAATGTGAGAAACATCATCGTTCTGCTGCCTCCTGCACGCCCCCTACTGGGGACAGAGCCTGAAACCCCTGCAGCTGCCCTGGCTGGGAATCAAACCAGACCTCTGGGTCCACGCGAGGACACTCCATCCACTGAACCACACTGGCTGGGCACGAAGATGCGTTTTTAAGTAATCAAGTATCTGATTAACATAGCATAACACATAACCATTTCAATAATATATAAAACCTTTGCTTCCTAGGCAAACACAGGAAAAACTTTCCCCCTCATAACAGACTAGAAAATGACCAAATTCTACGTTAGTTCATTTTAGATTCATTTATCTAATTAAATTTACTATTCAGTTTACTTATAATTTCCTTTGAAGATTTTCCTTCACGTTGAGGTGGGTGGGGCACTGGCCCCTGCTGCTTCCACAGCCTGCACAGGTTTTGGGGTGGTATTAATCCCCCCATTCTTCCCAGGGCTCTTGTAGCTCCCAGGCCTCCAGGAGGAGGATCTAGACTAAGTGTTGAAAAGACTTATTTCATCACTTACTTTTACTCTCTGGGAGAGGAGTGAGACCTTTTCCCCCTCTTTGAACCATCAATTTAGATCTTTCTGAGTAGAACACTTATGATGTGACAACATGAAATCTTGCACATAAAAAGAGGTCCTGTCCTATCCTAAACAGAAACAACATGTATAGTAAATAAATGAGTTCTCTCAAAAGGAAGGACTGGGCCACTAGCTTCAGAATTGTATCTCACACTAACCGACACAGCAAATGACCCTCACAAGGTCTGAGTGGCACAAAGTCCAAACGGCAGAGACAGAGGATTCCCCGTGTTCATAAAACAGCAAAAAGCAAGCCAAGTCCCTAACAGATAGGAGAGCAAGCCAAGAACATTCGAGACCAAAGTTACGTTACAGAAGGAACTCTCAGAGAGATCTCTAACAGAGCAGAACACAGAGAAATGAGAGCTCTTGTCCCTGTTTTTCCATTAGTGAAGCGTATGGATGGCTGATACCTTGAGAGGGAAAGCAGGGATGTTCCTCAAGATAAAAACTCTCAGCAGCCCTGGCCGGTTTTGCTCAGTGGTCAGAGCATTGGCCTGCAGTCCAGAGAGACCCGGGTTCGGTTCCCGCTAAGGGCACATACCTCAGTTGCAGTTTGTCCCCGGCCCTGGTTGGGTTGTGCGGGTGGCAACTACTCGGTGTGTCCCTTTCACGTTGATGTTTCTCTCTCTCTCTCCCTCCCACTCTATCTGAACAAAATATGGAAAAATGTCCTAGGGTGAGGATATAAAAAAAAAGAAAAAACACTCTCAGCAACTGCTGCGAAGTTCCTGCAATCCCTGCCACAGGTTCAGCCCAGCACAAGCAGCTGGGTCCCCCAATTAAGTGAGATATGCCCCCATCTGTAAACTAATTAAGGAAAATTATACAAAACTAAAACCACCCTAATATACAATATTTACAAGTGTGCACAACAGATAACGAAAAGCTTTATGGCTTCCCGGGTCCTTTTGCTTGTACAGCCAGACAGAATACCAAACAGAACACCAGACAGAATGCTCTGCGCCATGCAGAGCAATGTCTCGACCCTGAGCTGATCAGGCAAGGACTATGAGAGGACACCTGCAACCAGGAGCTGGTCAGGCTCATACCAGATGAGAGGCAACAGACACTCATTACAGAATTATAGAACTACAGAGCTACAGAGCTACAGAGTTACAGGACGTCAGCAGGGTCCCCAGTACTCACCCCAGAGGGGTCCTGCTTGCTGTCCTGGCGGAGTCGCCAAAATATGAAACCAGACAACGAATGGGTCCGAGCCGCCTGTCACTACTTGAGCCAATTAAGCAGAGACAAGTTTGAGTCATATGTGAGCGTTTATTCCAATATTGCCAGCAGTATGGAAGAGCAGTGGCTTATCCCTCAAAATCTGCTCTGCCCCTCTCACTTGCCAGCTGCTTTTATTTTCTCATTTATTTTAATCCTCACCCGAGGATACGTTTGCATTTATCTTCAGAGAGAGCAGGAGGGAGAGAGAGAGAAACATTGATGTGAGAGAGACACATCAACTGGCTACCACCTGCACAACCCGAACCGTGGCCGGGGACGAACCACAACCGAGGTACGTGCCCTTAGCGAGAACCGAACCTGGAACTCTCTGGTCCATGGGCCGACGCTCTAACTGCTGAGCCAAACCAGCCAAGGCACTTGCCAGCTTCTTTTAAAAGGTAGAGAAACAATGACAGGCAAGGGGAGAGGAATGTGGTCAGGGGCTGCAGGGGCTGGTTGCCAGCGAGTCACAGATAATCAGGTTGTTAATCTTTCCATGATGCCCAGGTAGTCCCCCTTGTCCCCAGATTAGGAGAATGGACAGCATTCCCGACGTAAGCTCCTGAGGCACACACCTCCCAGCCAGGTCAGAGTGGGCTTTTCTTTAATCAGAATAAAACAACCACGATTAACTTGCAAAGGATGATTAACATTTCTTATAACTATGGCGAGTAGCTACTATAATTAGTTCTCTATTCTATTCTCTCCCACCCCTTTCAATACTTCCAGTGCCAGACCCTTGGGATTGGCCAATTCTAGAGTTCCAAATCCCAGGAAGGGGTGACTTGAAACTGCACAAATTGACCACTCCCCAATTCTATTACCATTTTCTTCCCTAAATCCTCACCTCCTTGCCCACTTACCAGCAGCCCCTGGTAGCCAAGTGATGTATCGCCACTTTGCAAAGTAGTTTCACACCCACTCTTCCTCCTGATCCCCAGGTAGGCACTGCAGGGATCCACACCCTTTTTTTTTTACAGATAGGAAGGAACTCTCAGAGATGATGGCTTGCCCTGCCTGAGGTCAAGAGACTGCAGTGGCACTGGGTATCAATATCTCCTACGCCTGGGGGCCAGTATTAGCTCTTAGCTTGGTGCAACTCACTCTGCCCCCTTCCCGTCTTGTCTGGGTCTCATGACAGCCTTTGGGCTAGACCGAAATAACCAACTCTGAGGGCAGTGTAAAGCTGCTGGGAGGGCTCAGCCTTTTGGGGACAGAGCTTCCTGGGGATAGAATGTGGGTTTGTGAGGGCTCTGGTCCCTAGGATGGGGTGCTGGGCCTGGGCAAGTTCCTCAGAACCATGAGGAGTAGGGAGAGAGGAGTTCAGGATTATTCTGGGGGGGGGGTTACCCCTACCCTTTCTGGCTAAGGTAGGGGCTGGAATTCTTTTGGCATGCCCCATGGAGCAGATGCTGACCCCCTCCCTTCCTGGCAGGGGACACCATCGCCAGCGTCAACGGCCTGAATGTGGAAGGTATCCGGCATCGAGAGATTGTTGACATCATTAAGGCATCTGGTAACGTCCTCAGGTATGTCCAGGTGCCAGGGTCCCTGTGAGTCATGAGCTCAGCTTGTCCTGGTGTTTCTGCACCCTGGAGGCTCACTCAGCCTTTGATTCCCCAACCTCCTCAGGCTGGAAACTCTGTATGGAACATCAATTCGGAAGGCAGAGCTGGAGGCTCGTCTGCAGTACCTAAAGGTAAAGCAGCCCAGATAATGTCCAGCTTCCTCCGTCCTCTTCCCAAGCCCCATGGAGCAGATGCTGGTCCCTAGGATGGGGTACTGGGCCTGGACAAGTTCTCCTCAGAACCATGAGGCCCCACTCCCTTGCAGGCCCCACTCCTTTTCAGGGGGTCATTTATTTGTCTGAACCTCCTTTTAACCTTAAGGTTTCCTCTGTGTACTCCCTGATCCCTCAGTCTGTACCCACCTCCTGCTTGTTTCTGGCTGGCTCCTGACAGTGAGGCGGGTGGTGTCTCTTGCAGCAAACCCTGTATGAGAAGTGGGGAGAGTACAGGTCCCTAATGGTGCAGGAGCAGCGGCTGGTGCATGGTGAGTACATTGTGCTGTTGAGGGGCAACTTGTGCCACTGCTGATACCTTCCTACCCTCAGCCATGTTTTCCTGTCAGAGCTGGTGGGTTACTTCACCACCTTAGGCTGGTGCACAAACATTTTTAGTAGATTCTCAATAGTTCTCTGAAGGTAAATATTAGATAGTATCATCTCCATTTTACAGATAGGAACACCGAGGCTCAGAGAGCACGTTTTAAATCTCTTCCGTGGCTCATGTGTCCTAAGTGGTCCTCCTAAGGATCTGAGTGCATAATTCCTGTTTCACAGACCGGGGCTCCGGGTTGTGGTTCGGCGGGCTCGCCGAGGTCCCCAGCCCCCTCTGACGGCCCTCCCTCCTGTGTCCACCCTGGCAGGCCTGGTGGTGAAGGACCCGAGCATCTACGACACGTTGGAGTCCGTGCGCTCCTGCTTGTACGGCGCTGGCCTGCTGCCCGGCTCGCTGCCCTTCGGGCCCCTGCTGTCCGCGCCCGGGGCCCCCCGCGGGGGCGCGCGCCCGGCTGGGGGCGACCCCGACGACGCCGTCTACCACACGTGCTTCTTCGAGGGGGCCGAGCCGCCCGCGCCGCCCCCGCCGCCCCCGGCCCGCGCGCCCGGCCTGGGCCCGGCGGAGGCCCTGACCTCCGGGCTGCGGGCCGGGCTGAGCCGCAGCGCCAGCGTGCGGTGCGCGGGCCCCGGGGGCGGCGGCGGCGGGGGCGCGCCGGGCGCGCTCTGGACTGAGGCCCGCGAGCAGGCCCTGTGCGGGCCCGGCCTGCGCAAGGCCAAGTACCGCAGCTTCCGCCGGCGGCTGCTCAAGTTCATCCCCGGACTCAACCGCTCCCTGGAGGAGGAGGAGAGCCAGCTGTGAGGGCGGGGCGGGCGGGGGGAGGTATTTATTTATTTATTCGTTCCAGCCTGGGCAGAAAGGGAGGGGGTGCCGGGGAGGGAGGCTGGCCCCTGGCCGGCCGAGGGGGACCCCAGGAGCCCAGAGCAGTGGGAGAGGGTCCTTGCAGCTCAGCTGGCCTGGCGGGTTCCTGGCTTGTCTCCGCCCAGCGGTGAACCCAGTCCCCAGACCCCTTTACTCCTCCCTAAACCATAGTGGGAGCTGGTGCTGGGAGAATCAGGTGAGCTCGGGGTTGGGAGAGGTTTCGGGGGCCAAAGATGGGGCGTGCCATCCCATACCTGGTCAGTAGTGCCTTGTGGGGTGTCTAGGAAAACTCCCCCTGATGGGGGGACCCTTTCCCACGAAGCCCTCTCCTCAGCTTTACCTGCTCCCCTTGGCCTTGGGGAGAAATGGCCTGTGGCCAGGGGTTCCCCCACCTTCCATACACACACAGTTCCAGTTAACCAGTGGGCCCGTTGCTCCTGGCCTTGACCCTAAGGGCTTGACCCCTCCCAGGGGCCTGTAACTAAGTTGGGTCCTGCCAGACGGGGGTCCTGAGTTCTCTGACCCTGAGGGGGCAGAAATGGGCATGTACAGGTGGGGTGGGGGCAGTAAAGGCTGTTCCACCATTTTGCATATTGTTGCTTCTGAACCACAAAGTGTATAAAATTGACGGTTTTTTGCATCTGTGTCAGTGTGGTGACTGCCTGACGGGGAGGATTGGGGAGGACTGGACTCGGGCAAGCTCTGACTCCACCAAGCACCCAGCCTCCTAACACACACGTGTACTCACAGACACTGCATTTTACATCTTATTTACTTGGAGCCTGCAGCCAGGGAAACGTACATGTATGGGCCTGAACTGGAGGCCCTGCGCCCTCTTCAGAACTTGGGCCTCTTGTTTCAGTACAGCTTGAGTCTCCCTCCCCAAATACCCACAACGGGTGGTGGCTAAGTCTCATCTAAAGTCCTTAACGATCCTTCTGTGAATAACTGCTTGGTACCCTCTCTTCCCAGGGCCTGGGGTCTCCTGTAGAGGAGACCTTAGCCATCATCCAGGCCCAATCGCTGATCACAGCATCCCCAGAGTAAGATTTCTAGCTCGTAGGCTGGGATATCTGACCCCCGCGCTGGCCACCTTGTTGTACCTAGTACACTTCAGATCCCCTCCCCTTGGGAGTCTCAGCACTTGCTCCTCCCACAGCTGGCCCTTCAACCCTGACACCCAAAGATCTTGTCACCCAATATGAAATACAGTCACACCCTTCGCAGTGATGGGGCCCTGTTTTATTTCCATCATACTACTCATCACCATCTGAAATTGTCTGGCTTTTTATGGGTTTTGTGTCTTACCTGGCCCTTCCCCATTAGGATATACCCTCCTTATTGCAGCAGGGCTCTGTCTTATTCACGGCTTCATTTCTTGCCCAGTACTAGTGCATAGTAGAACCTAAATAAATGCAGTGTGTGCTCAAAGCATCTCCAAGTGACCTGTTCAGGGTGACAGAAAGTAAGTGGCAGAGCTGGACCTGAGACGCGAGACTTGTGCACCAGTGCTCTTCCCTGACAATAACCAACACACAGGGGCGGCTGTCCCCGACCTCCTCCCTCCTGTACCACTGCGCTTGCCTCCTGAATGGGCTCCCTGCTTCCTCTCTTATTCCTGGACCGTCCATTCACACAGCAAGAAGTCAGGGTGAGCTTTCCAAAGAGGAAATCAAATCACAACCCTTCTCTGCTTAAGACCCATTATGGCTTCCCCTGGAATAAAAGAATGAGATCCAAACTGTTTTCCATGGCTTATCCATAACATGTTGTCCCTGTGGGTAGACAAATTACAAAAAGGCATCCCTTCCTCTGGGCTGACAGCACCACACAGGCCCAACAATATCACATTGGGAGATTTGTGCTGTGTACAACCTCTACAACCATATTGGGATGCTCTAATGAGGTCCTCCAGGACCTGGTCCCTGCCTCCAAGCTCAAATTGTTTCTCTTTCCATGTCACTTATATTTAAGTTACACTATTCTTTCTAGTCCTATTCCTCAAATGTGCCAAGCTCTCTCCTGCCTCTGGCCTTTGTCCATGCTGTTCTCTCTGCCTGAAATACTCTTCTTTCCAAGGCTGCTTCCTCCACCCTCAGGTCTCAGCTGAAACATCACCTCCTTAGCCAGCCAGTGTGGCTCTGTGGTTGAGCACCAAGAGGTCACCAGTTCGATTCCCGGTCAGGGAACATGCCCAGGTTGTGGGCCAAATCCCCAGTAGGGGCATGCAGGAGGCCGCCGATCAGTGTTCTCTCTCATCGATATTTCTATCTCTCCCTCTCCCTTCCTCTCTCTCTAACATCAGAAAAGAAAATAATAAATAAATAAATAAATAAATAAATAAATAAATAAATAAAATCACTTCCTCAAAGAGGTTTCCCTGATCAGTAGCTCCCTGTCCCCATTATTCTTTGTCTTAAGCCTTCCATTTTTTCTTTCTTTAGAGCATTTACTATTTTAAAGTGTGTTTTTATTGATTTGAGAGAGAGGGGAAGGGAGAGGGAGAGAGAAAGAAACATCACTGTGAGAGAGAAACACCGATCGGCTGCCTCCAATGCACACACCCTGACTGGGGAGCAAACCCACACCTGGGTATGTGTCTGGCTGGGAATCAAACTTGCCACCACCCTTCAGTGCACAGGATGACACTCAACCAACTGAGCTGCACTGGCCAGGGCTACCAACTGGTAATTTTACTGCCTTTTGCATCTGCCTTTTGCCTTCCTAAGGCAGGAAACTCTGCCTGTTTACCTGGTACCCCCAGGGCCTAACACAGCCTGGCACACAGTAGGTGATCAATAAATGGGAATGTCTCCTTGGGGCTAGCCCGGTATGGAGGTGACCCCTGCTCCCCCAGCTCTCAGCCCTGGGGATGGGATGAAGAGCCCCTCCCTGCTCCATCTGTGGGCCTCTCTCACGAAATCACTTGGGGGCTGGGTGTCAGCTCCAGGCAAGCCACCTGCACCTGGCTGTCCTACCCTCCCTGGTCCAGGGGAGGGAGGACATTTGATTAAGAAAATGGAGCTTCCCCAAGCTCCCTGTTTGAACAGCTGCTCTGCAGTGATGACAAACAGCAGCTCCCAGGGGCTCATGTCTAGGGGAGGGGCCCCTCACACCTTTGTTCCCATAGCCCAGGGCTGCCAGGAGACCAAATGCTTGGCACCTTGCTGCGGGTGGGGACTAATAGGGCCTCCCTGGTTTTCTCCCAGAATAGATGCCCAGCCACTTTCCTACCAGCTGGTTCTTCCCCTCCCCCATGCAGCTTGTCTTGGGAGTGATGTCAGTACTCCTCACCCAGGCTGAAGGGGCCCCTGGCTGGCCCAGGAGGGTAAGGGGGTACCCAGGACGGGGCTAGATACCACCTTGAAGCTGATGGATGACGGCACCAGTACAGCAGTCTCCTGCTGTGTAGGTGGGTGACAGGGAGTGACTAATGTGCGAGCTGTGATGCTAAAAATTAACCCAGGAATCGTGTTTAGTGGAGGGGTGGGGGTGGATAGGAAAGGAGCAGAGACTCGCAATATTGAGTGGTTGGTATTCCCCCTGCCCTGCCTCCCCTCCTTCACCTCCTACCAGCCTTCTGGTCCTCTCAGAGCCTCACAGGACTCTAAGGGAGTCCTGCCCCATCCCCAGGCCCAAAGGAGCCCCCAGTAATTCCAGGGAGAAGGAGGAGAGTGGACAGCACTCCAGGTCCTGGGCATGGTAGAGTAAGGACACAGCCTTGCAGATGGAGTTGTGGTCTAAGGTCTCCACACAGCACTGCATCTGCCCCACCTCCTCATGGTGGCTGCTATACCCTGAGTCCCCTAGTTCTCAGGCACCGAAGCAGCCAGTGCATGGAGATGAGGGCGGGTTCCCATCAGCAGGCCAGAGGTGGACAGTGAGGGTGACAGCCGTACCTTAAGAAAAAGACAGGGGAGTATATCCCTCAGTACCTGCTATGGATTCAGCACTGTACTAAGCATTTCTGCATCCATCACCTCACTAAGACCTTACAGCACATCTGAGAGCCATGTATCATTGTCCCCATTTTACAGATGAAGAAACTGAGAATTAGAGAGGTTAAGGTAGCATAGCTGGTACCTAGCAGAGCCAGCATCCTCTCGTATCTGTTTGTCTCTAGATCCTGGATTGGGGAATGGAAGGATTCCTGGAGGAAGGCATGTGAGGACAGGGCCAAGGTAGGAAAGCATTTTTTAGAAGAGCTGAATCTTGCCCTGGCCGGTTTGGCTCAGGGGTTGGAGCGTTGGCCGGCAGACCAGAGAGTCCCGGGTTCGGTTTCCGCTAAGGGCACGTACCTCAGTTGCAGTTTGTCCCTGGCCCCGGTTGGGGTAGTGTGGGTGGGGAGCACTCGATGTGTCTCTCTCACATCATTGTTTCTCTCCCTCTCTTCCTCCTGCTCTATCTCAAGATAAATGCAAAAGTGTCCTTGGGTGAGGATTAAAAGAAGAGAGAGAGATTTAAAGAAGAGCTGAATCTTTAAAGCTGTGGGACTAACTTTGGGGAAGGAAGGTGAGAGTGTGGAGTGTATATGAAAGGTGGGACCTGAAGGAGCAGGGTCTGAGATGTACTGCAAAAAGGAGGCGATCAGGTCCAGAGGGATCAAGGTTCCATGGATGTGGGTTCTATCCTGGAGTGAGGTGAGAACATTCCCACCAAAGGGGGAGCTCTTGGGACTGGGTTCTGGAGGCCACAAAAGCAGCATAGGCTTGGCCAAGAGCTTTGTTGACCTAATAAGAAAACCTGTTGGGAGTGAATCCACAGACACTCCTGTTTTGCCCATGACAAAACCAGGGAACTTGAGCTAAATGGCAGCAGGAGAAGAAATGAGATAGTAGACAGCACAGTCTGCTCACCAATCAGTCACTAGAGAAGTTGGAGAACTGAGAGGCCATGGGACTCCCCAAAGGTCAAGAGAAACGTCAGGCTGTGTAGTTCTGCACTGAACGAGGGATGACCTAAAGGAGGGCATGCAGGGTTACAAGAAGTGACAGAGAGAGAGGAATA